TATCTCCCCACTGCTCAAACCTTTCTTATTGTTTCTCTCTCTGTGCAGATGAATTTTTTCTTGGCAGGTCCACTTGGTATAGTATTTCTGCATTCAAGAGATGTGAAAAAGGTTTTGTTAAATCTAGGGTGGCTGTGGTGGGGAGATGAACATTTCCCCAAACTTCTGTGTCTTCCCACACACAAGTCAGGCCTTGGAGGTGGTGCAAAGATGCACTGGAACGGCAGGGTGAAGGCAAGCAGGTGGCTACCCTGGCAACTTAATTAATGCTGTAGCAGTTTGGAGGAAGGGAGAGGGGTGATGTTCTCTTGCTTTTCTTCACTGGCTGTGACAGCCTGTGTGGCTCAATTACAGGATAGAGATTGAGGATGGGGGCGTCAGAGAATTGAACCTGCTGCTGTGAATGCTGGTGGAAAGAGCTAGGAATGATTCTGTCTAGCAGGAAAAATTAAAATAGGGGAATCAGTTAAGTCAAGATTTTGTGAAGAATTGAAAGTGGGGCAAGAGAAGTGCATTACATCTAAAATAGAAGCAGAGAACTGTTTGTCAGAGGATGTGACAACATCTTCAACAATACATGCCAGTAGTGGGTGGAGGTGAAAACATGAATGGGTGGAGCTAGAGATAACCAACATTTTCCCCCTTTTCTGCCATCTCTGTTCTTTCCATCTTTCTGCCATCCCATTCTCTCTCTCTCTTTCTTCTTCCTTGCCAGGCAAGATTGTAAGAGGAACACATTGCTTTTGCTAAAGGTCTAAACCAATGGCTTCTAAAAGACAGCTGAATTTGGGCCAAAGATCACAAGCAACTCTAAGAGTGGCAAGTTGCCCACTTCTGTCTTAGAATAGGAAGAGTAAAAGGAAGAATAAAGAATTAGAGCAAGAAAAGGCAAGAGAAAGGAATATTTTCCTCTTTATTTAAAAAGAGAAGGGGAAAGCAAAAGGAAGAATATCTCGTATGGATAAGAGACATGTATATATACAGGTGGACACCAAGTCTGGATCATTACTGATCCCTTGGAACAAGAAAGGATAAAGCAGTGTCTGAAAGAAGAAGAGAAAGAAAAGTAGCAGAGGGCTTTAGGCACACTGTGTTTGGAGTAATTCAGGAACTGCTTTTGAGGAGGGACAGGCCTCTGTATGAATTCTCATAGGGTCAATATATATGTTTTTGTGCACATATGTATGTGTTTTATGTGCTGATCCAATGGTGGGTTGCTCCAGGTTCTGTACGGTTCTTGAGAACCGGTAGTAAAAGCGGCGGGAGTCTCTGCCCGGAAGTCATAAGTATGATATGCGCAGAAGTGCGCAAGCGTGCACGCTCCCGTTGCGAACCAGTAGTAAAGGTAAGTAGAACCCACCCCTGTGCTGATCCATCACATTATATCTATTGTTCTTGTATATTGCAGAATGAGGAAATATAAATCAGCAGAAATTTATTTTATTATTTATTATTAAATGTATTGGCACCCCTCCCCCCCCTTACCACAAGGTGACTGTGGGTGGCTTACAATATTAAATAATGTCTATACAGAATATCATCACAAACTATGTTGGAGAAGCCATTGATCCTAGATTTAGTTATATGTAAGATAGACTCGTTTAAATCAGAGACACTTACAAACTGTAAACAGATCTTTTGAACAAGTCCATTAGCTTTAAGTATAAACCTGGATATAATTCCATTTGCTTTTAGATATAAAGTCATCTAATTAAGCAGAGGGAATTCACATAATAGAGAAAAACATGGATTATCTTGTCCATGTCCTTCCTTGCAACATTACAACTCCCCAACTTTCCTTATAGCAATAGGCAATGTTGGTAGCTGATGACAAAGTGCCATGGAGAAAATAATGAGGCACTGTTAATTTCAACATTATATTTATAGGTAGGGGGCCTCTGGCAAAGAAGAAATGTCTTATCATTTATTCAGGTGACACAAGGCTTTTGGGATATATAAAACTGTTCAAATGGCAAAAAAAGAAACCAATGATGGATACTCAAGAGTTTTGGAGATGGATTCCTTATCGTTGTATGCTAGCTTTCTAATATATGAAACCAGAAACTGGTGGACCATTACAAGGTTTGCCAAAGGATGTATGTCTAGTCCTGCTGAGGATTACAGTCCTATAGAAAAATACTACCGTGTTTCCCCAAAAATAAGATCCTGTCTTATATTTTTTTGAACCCTAAAATAAACACTTGGCCTTACTGCCATGCGCTCAAAAGCCCGATTGGACTTATTGTCAGGGGATGTCTTATTTTGGGGAAACCAGGGTATCAAGTGCTTAAGAGTATCTATAGAGTAACTATTATTTTTTTTCCCATTAGGTGTTCAAGATAGTAGTATCTTTTGCCACCTCCAAGTGATCTTAACAACATTGAGATGGATTGGTCTCAGAGGCCCAAAGCTACATTCCATAGTTATTTCATCGCTGAAAACAGTTTTAAACCCAAGTCCTCATCATTCACGTCTGGCACCTTAAACGTTTTACCATGTATTTTGTTATAGAAAAATGGTCAAAGGGTAAAGGGAAGAAGTAAGATAAGAATTGGGAAACAATTTGAAACAACTGAAAGCAAACATCATCAAGGACGCATTAGGTTGATTACAGAATTGATTCATTTTCTGGGTTTTTGCAATACACTAGTCTCTAAGTCTCTTGAAATGGACATTTAACATTAGAACCATCATTAAAAAGGTACAACAAAGAACTTCCTGTATCAACTCAGGAAGTTCAGATTGCCTCAGGAGCTGTTGATACAGTTTTACAGAGGAATTATTGAATATGTTATTTGTGCTTCTTTCTATAACTGTCTGCTTTGGTACAGCAACCAAACAGGACAGGTACAGACTTCAGTTAGGACTGTAGAAAAAACAATTGCAACCAGCCTGCCTTCCACTGAGGACCTGTATATTGTGTGGGTCAGAAAGAGGGCTGAGAAGATACGTGAGACCTTTCACATCTTGTTTCAGTTCCTCCCCTTGGGAAGGTGCTACAGGGCATTGCATTCCAAAACAACTGGTCACAAGGACAGTTTTTTTCCCTCATGCCATCACTCTGCTGAACACCTAATTCTCACAGTGCTGTCCAATGTCTATGTATATTTATCAGTGTAATACGGAAGTAGTATTATTTATCCTTATTATCTTTTTTACTCTCGCCTTTTATTGGTATTATGATTATGATTATTCAGTTTCTTTCCATGTATATTGAGAGCTTCTGCACTGGAGACAAATTCCTTATGTGTCACACTTGGACAAATAACATATTCAATTCAATTCAATTCAATTGGACTCACTCAACAAATTAAGATACAAAATAGGTTTTAAAAAACAAGCTTAACATTCTGGGTAGTTGCAGCTGCTAAGTCTTTGACCAAATTAGACACGTATTTATGAATTTTGATGCAACCCAAATGCGGGCAGTTCACAAAAAATGTAATACCAATATAGGAAAGAATTCTAGCTTTGCCCCCTCCTTTAATGTAAGGCAAATACATACATATGTGCGTGCGTGCGTGCGTGTGTATATATATATAATCTCTCAGAAATGCTGGGCACAGAATTACAGTGTTATGTAGCCATTCAATTTTTGCAATAAGCCACAGATTTTTCTTGCAAGAATTGTTATGACTATTAAAAAGGCAAGTGAAGTGGCAGAAGACAGATAGAGTAGTCCTTGCATTTCTCACCAACCTCTTGATGCATTTCTATTGAAATCCTAGTTACCTCAAAGTTTTTGCGAATACAAATTAGGCTACCTATTTTGCTAGATCAATTTATGATGCTTTGTTTGTTTATCACATGAAACTGATTGTCCCCAACTACATCTGTCAAGAAAGGGATGGTCTTTTACAGTTTAGTAAATTACTTAATTTATACCATCCTCTTTAATATTTCAGACTCCCATAGTAGCCTACTGGGGAAACAAAATATTATGAAAAATATATTCAAAGGATGATCCTGGCATAAAAGTTTAAACTTCACAGATGCATGATAAATTCCTCCTGGCAACAAAGTCTGTCTCCTATAAACATGAGAAAATGTCTAAATATGGCTTCTGATTTGAAGTAAGAACTGAGAACTGAAATTGGTCACACAAAAAGTAAAGCTAGATATCACTTCTTAGTCCTTCATATTACTAACAGCCTCTGTAACAATGAATTCTAACTCACCAATGTGATATCAAGGTGACCCATCTATTCTAGAAAATATTTGGCAAGAGATTTTAAGCACTCTTTGTTTTAGCTGTTACTGGGAACTTTTACCTAATCTTATCCAAATAGATTGAAATAAATTCCATTGTTTGGTGTCTAAAATGAGAGATACTGAAATTTAACCCTATGAGTTAACAAGTTTCTGTAATTTAGACATACATTTTTGGACAGAAATGCAAGGAAGGAAATTAAATTCTTCAGTATTCAGGAGTATTAAATATATTCATTCCTAGATATCCAATCATCTGGAATTCTATCAGTTTTATCAAAAGGTTAGTTAGTAGATTAGTTTGGGAGTGAGCACTTCACTTAATGACCAAATTGCCGGTCGTAGTTGTGGTCACTAAATGCTCTGGCAAATGATGGAAACTGCATATTGGAGATCTAATTATGGTTTGCAGCCTATCAGATGGCTACATTGATTGATCAATGACTTCCACTTGCCTGTTTTTCTGTTTCTCAGTTGTAATTTGGTTTATAATGGGGCTTTTGGTTTTAAAGAGGATTATTATATTTTTACTAATTTTTGGATTTTGTTTATTGGTTGCTTTAATTGGTTGTTTTTAGTTGTGTGAGTCATCCAAAATCACAAATGTGAGATGGGCAGCCATACAAATTGATTGAATATATAAATAAACATAATCAGAAGCATTAATTTCCATGGCCCATGAGCCAGGTTTTAGGTTAACGAATTCCACACTAATCATTAATAATTTACTAAAACTCAGAGCATTTTCACATCTGTATTATTCATTCTTGTCTTTTAAAATCTATTTCCAGGTTTTCAGCACTTATTCCAATGAGGAATATGACCGTCGAAATGAAGATGTTGATCCTATGGCTGCCTCAGCAGAGTATGAACTTGAAAAAAGAGTGGAAAGGCTGGATCTCTTTCCTGTGGAACTGGAAAAAGGTAATGGGAAAAATGTGTTTGGCGATGAATTTTCCTTTTCAGAACTGGTAGAAATGGGAAAGAACATAAGGCATTTTGATCGGATTTTCCTGAGCATGAGCCCTTCTTTTGTATTTTCTACACATATTTTAAGAATAGGTCGCTGTAAACTAGTTTGTCTCTGAGAAGGGCTTTATTTTCAACTTGCTGTATATTTTGCTTATCACCGTTAACTGCTTCCCCCCCCCCCCCAAATCATGTCCTTTTATCTTCTTGCCCTTCTCCTATCAGTTATTTTCCCCTTAGGAAAGGCATAGGAAAAGCAACAAAAAAATAAGCTGCTATGGCAGATATAGGCTACTTTTGTTCATAAGGCTGTAAGGGCCCTCAGCCTAATTTTTAAAAACATGTTCAGCAAGAAATCAGTTTAGATCTTTGATAAGACATATCTGTCTTTTCCTGCAGTCTGCTGCATAGGAGAAAAAGAAGAGAACAATAACAAAGAGAGAGAGAGAGAGAGAACACTGGGTTTAAAAAACAATGTAGCTGGAATCATAGCCATGCTAAATCCTAAATCAAAGTGAATAAAGTTCTCATTCTGTGTTCATGTAACATACTATGCCCAGAAAACTTAAGTAGAATTATGACATATCATGATATCTTAGTTTATATACCATGCTAAGAGAAGGCTGGCTTTCCACAATAAGCTGAATCACAAACTATGCATTTTCATCTAGTCCCCACTTAAGTTTGTCTATGGTTTCACCCAGTGCTTGCTTTAGTCTGACCCACCGTGTGCCCTACAATGTTACCCCTGAGTAGTCCTGGATAGATAAAGGTATCCATCTTTATACTACAGATTATTATCAATTTAAGAATGATTGGTTTTTTTCCCCATTAGTTTGGACTTCTTTGTATTTAAATGTAGGCCCATTTTTGCACTGTATTCCTTGACTTTTATAACTAGAATTTTCAATTCAATTGCATTTTCAGCTATCATAATAGCGTCACCAGCATAGTACAGATTGATGTATTTTTCCCCCTCCAGTTTTAAAACCTCACTGATCTTCTTCCAATCAGCTTCTCTTAATATAGGTTGCCCTTCACTTATGACTGGATGCTTAGAGACTGTTCGGAATTGCAATGAACATCCCCCCCCCCCCAAAAAAGCTAATTACAACCCAGTTTTGAGATTCTGATATCTTCCCCCTCCCCATGCAATCACTTGAATGTATTTTGGGCATTTACAGCACCTTACAGTCACATGACATGCCATAAACCAGTGTTTCATTGTGGTTGATGGCAAAAACTGACACATAGTGAGCAATGATTCATTTAACAACCACCACGTTTGCTTTCTTTCACAATCATTTTTTATTTTATTCAGAAAGTTAAAATACAAGTCCCAAAAAAGAAAAACAAAGAAATTTTACAAAAAGAAAACAAAATTAGACATTAAAAATGTACATTAGAAAAGATACAAGATAAAAACACATATACATATATTGTGCCCCCCAGTTGAACACTGATAAGTATATTGCAGCAATAATAGTTTCCCCTCCTTGCAAAGCACGCTTATATTCTACACAGCTATTTGCAACCAATTTAACCTGTCATCTATCTATTATATATATAAGAAAAGGTAATTAACAGGTAAACTAACAGCAAAGTTAAACTTCAAAGCCCTTTGTTAATAATCTATTATTATATTTAATTCATAGAAAGTCTACAATGGCTTCTTATCTACCACAAATCACTGCAATCATTATCTCTTATTCGTCCATTTTGATTGTTACCTTTGTTTGATTCTTAATAATAAACATTTTCCTTAAAATTTTGTTTGGGAGCTTTCCCAACAATTGCATCTCATTTTCACTTGGAGAATGAGTTCATTATGTTTAACCAAAAAACAATTTACAAGAGATGCTGTGTTTTTATTTACAGGGAAACTTTCTGAACAATGGGTACACCATGTTTGCTTTCGGTCACATTTGTTTAACGACCATTGCAAAAAATATTGTAAAATTGGATCTGGTCACACGGTGGTGACCTGCTTTATGATCATCATAACCTACCACTGTAATTGCCAAACTCAGTTACAGTCATAAACTGAGGACTACCTGAATTTATCCAGCATATAGACTGACTGAATAAATAAAGGAAGAGTCTATAGACTTGTCTCATCTTTTGCCAACCTGGAGCCCGCCTGTTTCACCATATTCTATCCATACTGCTTTCTAATCTGTAGATTGGGTTTTCATGAGGACAGTGAAATGTCCTGAGAATCCCATTTTCTGAGCATGTTCCACAGCTTGATATGGTTGGCACAATCAATGACTTTTTTATAATCAGTGAAGCACATATTGGATTCTTTTTTATATTCTTTAGCTTTCTCAATTATTCACAGTGCATCAGCAATAATGTTGCATGTTCCTCTTCCTTCTCTAAAGCCAGTTTGAACATCTGGCATTTCTTTTTCTTCACATAGAGCTCTAATTTTTGTTGGATATTCTAAGCATTATTTTGCTAGCTTGTGAAATTAAGAATATTGTATAATAGTGCGCACAATCTTTTAAGTCCCCTTTTTCGTATTGTAATGTAGATTTACCACTTCTAATTTGTTAGCTACTATGTCATTCTCTAATTTTCTAAGATACTATAGTTGGAACCTTTACTTCTGTTGCCTGCCATATTCCTGTATCCTATAGCCTTATGACTTAGTAATGACTGAAGTGCTGATCTCACTTCATCTTCTAGTACTAGAGGTTCTTCTAAATAGGAAATAACTACTAAGCTATATTGGATGTTATCTGGCCCAAACCCCAAAATGACACAGCGGAATCCAATCAAGTCCAATCCTTTATTTGCTTGTACCCAATCGACAGGATCTTGTCAAACTAAAGCTATAACCTTGTAACCTACTAGATATATTCTGAGATATTCTAGAATGTGGCTACCCTAAATCTTTTGCCTTCTTCCCCATGCATTTTGGGACTGCACAGTGCCTTACTCTTGACCTTTCTCTAATGATATTTACTGCCTTCTCCCTGAAGAAGATCTGTGTTGCCAAAACTTCTATCCACTAATTCTCCTGGTGCACATTTCCTCACCTGTTGGCATTTCTTCTGTACAGTATTTCAGTATAATCCTTCCATCTTTGATCTCCTTTGAATTTGTTATTGTTGATTGGTGTTCTTTAATGTTCCATATTGAGATTGAAATCTCCTAGGTTTAGACATCTTTAAAAACACCTTCTTTATTTTTCCATGTTTCTTTCCATCTTTAGTCTCTTTATAAATGTTATTGTAATACTGCTTCTTGTCTCTTCTGACAGCTCTCGGAAACTCTTTGTAAAGCTTCTTCCTGAGATTTTTATCTTTTTTAGTTTAGTTTCTCTTCTTTTGCTATTTGCAAATTTGTTCTGGCATCTAGTTTGCTCTCTTCTGTTTCTCCATCTTTGGCAATCCCTTTTCACATTCATTCTTCTTTCAGTTCATTTCCCAATTCTTTGGTTCTGTAATGAAGGTCAGGACTTCAAAGAAATTCCTATTGTTTTCCTTAAAATGATTAGTGTAGTTTTACCACGTGTTGTGGAAACTGGTTGGCTTTCTTCTTTCTTACATATGAGTTTTTGTGATCTGTTCCAATCAGCTCCTATTCATGTCTTTAATGCTATAATTGAATGTCTCCATCTTCTTTTAACAATAATATAGTCAATTTCACTTCTGTATTCTCCATCTAGAAAGGTTGTACACAGAGAAATTGTTTTGGTTCTTTGAAGACAATATTAGCTATGAAGACGTAATTGGAATATCTGAATTTAATAAGTCAATGTCATACTTTTGAATTTCATAACTATATAGCCCAACTAATAACCCAACTAAACCCTTTTCTTTAATATTTTCAACTTATGCTTTCCACCTCTTGATTGGGTGTTCTATCAGTTTCAAATTGAACTTGATCTTAAACACATTGGCTATCTCTTGTTCTGAATGAACATTTGGACCATAAAGTTGAAGGGTCATCATAATAAAGGGCTGCCCTAAATTCTGGTTTATAGTATTTGGCCATTGATTGCTTTGTAGTCAAGTATTGTTCTTGCTATACTTTTCCTAGCTATTAAAACAATGTCACTTTGTTTTTAATGTCCTGAATAATAAATAGCATGATCTTCTGACTTTATTAATTGATGCCTAAGATGTCAATTACATTTCATCTTTCATTGTATGACCTTGATGAATGAGAGGAAGAGATTCTGCCTAGGAAATGATTAGAAAAGAGAGGCAGGATTCCCGAAGGACTTAATGGTCAGAGAAAGAAATTTAGGAAAGACCCATCCTAATGGACCCAGCAATTAAAAGTGATGGCGGGAAATTTCTACTTTTAGACTTGCAAGTAGACAAGATTCTGTTAATGTAACTTTACAGTAAAGTAGATTCTGTTAATATAGCCTTACAATAAAGTAGAATTAGCTCATCTAGTCATATTTCCTGTCTGATTTTCCTGGGAGGGCTGATATTCACTGAGTTGAGCTTTCCAATATTCATGCTTCATATGTTCCATGTTCACAGAGTAATTCTGACTTTTCAGCTTCTGATTTTCTTTTCCTGTATGGCAACATCGGAAACTCAATATCCCAAAGGCTTTAATCTAGCCACATTATAAACACCATTAGAATTCTGAAAGTTCCTAAGTAGCATGTTGAATGTAATCTGACCTGAGGGGCACATCATTTAGCATTATATCATTTTATATTTTCTATTCATGTGGTTTTCTTGATAAAAATATAGAGGTTGTTTACAATTACCACAGTATGAATTGATACTTTTGCCATTGCACTGAAGTGATCATCTGCCTCCAGCTTCTTCCTATATAACTGCTGCCTGATATAGGTGCCTGCTTGTTTTAGCTGGGCAAGATGTAGTGACCGTCATGCCTTGGGTGATGCTGCTGGAAATATATATTCTAAACTCTGTTTGTGGATTTTATGCTGAAAATGGACAAAAATGAACTGATGGTTTCTCGATTTGCTGATTAAGAAGGGGTGAATATGGAAAAAGGCCACTATAATATAATTCTAAAGGGAAGAAATGATAAAGTAATAAGGAAAATTAGAAGAAGAATCTTTTTTTTCTTTATCTGTACTATTTTCTTATTTGCACTTTTTCATTTTTCTCTTTATATATGCTTTATTATTTATCTTTTAATTATGTAAAAACTTTATAAAGAATAAACAAACTCTTTCTCCCTTTCCTCTTCCATTCTTTCCCCTTCCATGATAATGAGCCAGCACAGCAGGAATTGGGGGTGCAAGGATTGAACCATAAGCAAAAGAAATGAGCTGATATTGCATGATACACTAAGCCCACTGTCCCCTCCCCCACCAATTAATCAATGAGAGTTACAATAAAGCTTAGCATGTTGTACATATATATAGCTGCTAGGTTTTTTTACTGACCTGATTAAACATGTTGAATAATGCAGTCAATTTCTCTTTAAAGAGCCAGGAAGGATTCCCTTCTAACAGATGAGGAAATTTGCAGTAGCAGGTTTTATTGGATTTATTACCAGATTCTGGTAACCTTCAGACTTGGAATCTCATATTTTAATTAAATTCACCTCTTCCTTGTCTCATGCAGATTCTGAGGGTCTTGGGATCAGTATTATTGGAATGGGGGCTGGAGCTGATATGGGTCTAGAAAAGCTTGGCATATTTGTCAAGACTGTGACAGAAGGAGGAGCAGCTCATCGAGATGGCAGGTCAGTAGGACTGATATTACATTGGGAATGAAGCTTATCTTGGAACAAGAACTTACCAAAACAAGAACTCTTACTTTATTTATCATAGTCAATCTCTGTTTGCGGTAGAAAGATGATTAAAATCCTAGATTTCTTCGTTGTTTTCTGTGAAAATTTTGACAAAGGTATATATATCTTTTCCTCCCTAAAAGGGATCATAAGATGCCGCAACATAAGATTAAAAACTCACCCTCCAAATATTATATTTGCACCATCATTGTCAATGTAGCATTCGGTTAACGTGATACCAGAGTGAAATTTAAATTTATCTCTTTGACGGATAGTGAAAAATCGTACCAACCCTAATTGAGGACCATTAGGCTCTCTTTTTCCAACCAGGATTTATTTTTGGCTGTTTTCCCCTCAAAGGGTGAAAAGGGAAACTCATAAAAATAAACTCCCTTTTTATTATGTCTATGTGAATCTACTTTTTATTTTGCTACTGTGCAAGCAAACATTTCAGGTGCTGGGGATATTCTTATAATGTGAATATAAGTACTAAGAAATTTACAGAGTGATTTACTCAGAAATAGGGTTCATTAAGTTTACTAGGAGTTAGGCTTTAATCCTTTGCTCATTTGCATAGGATCAGTCAGTAGGACATATGTCTGAATAAGCACATAGAATTGTATTCTATGTTTTAATAAATTGCCAAGTTTAAGACCACTACCTTAGTTTGTGTGTAATAAAATGGAAGCTAGCATAAAAAGCAATAGTTGCTTCTAAGATTAGAAGCAACTTTTAGTCAGTTTCTTCTATTTTACAGATAGTCCTCAACTTACGACCACAGTTGAGCCCAAAATTTCTGTTAAGTTGTTTTGCTCCACTTTATGACCTTTCTTGCCATAGTTATTAAATAAACAATTGCAGTTGTTAAGTTAGTAACACAGTTGTAAAATGAATTTGACTTCCCCATTGATTTTACATGTCAGAAGGTTGCAAAAGATGATCACATGATCACAGTCATTTTTTTATTGCCATTGTAATTTTGAATGGTCATTCAACCAACTGTTGTAAGTCGAGGACTATCTGTATATGCATATTATAGCACTAAGAGAAGTAGCTCAAAAGGATGACAGGATTTGTTTTATATTGACCTTTTTGACATGTCATTCCAGTCCTTTTTTAAAAATAAGTTTGTAATTAAGCATAGGATTAATTTCCTTTTAATCTATATCAGTTATGGCTGTTTCTCTCCCTTATATGCACATGCAAATATTAGGTGTGTGGTTCAGATTTGTAAAAGATGCTCTGGAATGCGCAGAAGTCCAGATATAGAACCTCTTTGTACTTCATTAGAAGAGCTGAAACATTAAAAGAGCTGAAGCAAAACAGCTCTATAAAATGTAATAAGAGGTTATATTTGCCACTAAGAACAGCAGGCAGGAGTGCAGCATTCAAGTAATTTCGTTATAAAGTGACTACCGGTACATTTCACAAAGCAAGCCAAAAGATGTTTCTCATCTCTCTCTACACATTGGTAGGAAAATCATGGGAAATTTAGTCATTTTTAGATGTGGTTCTAATTTACCAAGATCAAAAGCACATAATAGTAACTAATAAATTGAATGTGATCGGTGTGGATCATATGGGGAACCCCTTAGAATTTTATTTAAAAACCCATATTGCATAGAAATACCTTCAGATGTTGTCCTCCAAAGCGATCTAACTCATTTATTTATTATTCGCTATATTTTATAGGAGAAACTGTATTTAAGCCATCTGTGTTCACATCCTCATAACAGATCATGAACATGTCAAAAACAAATTATAAATGGAAACATTAAATGGAAACAGTGTTATGCAACAAAAGGCAGTCTTTGTTCCTAAAGAATTGTTAGGAAGACTAGATACATCTTATATTGCAGCTGTAGCTTCAGCAGCTCATTTTCCACTGCAAACAGTCCTTGCAGTTTGCATTAGAAAAAAATATGCTTTAACCTTTTACTTGACAGTTGATTTGCCCTTAAAAATTTTGTCCAAATGCTTCTCATTGACAATATTTTAGTCCCAATCACATTGTAAACTGTCTGGAACCCCCATGGATAGAAAGAGCAAAGGAAATATTCAGCAAGGAAGTAGCAGGCAGAAGAAGGATTAAACACTTCTTGCCCTCGCCCCAATTTCTGAACTCAAATTGCCCTTAACCAAAGTAGCAGTGGGGAAAAAAAAGGAATTATTACGTATGATTTTGATGTAATATGTCACTTATTTATTTATTTATTTATTTATTTATTTATTAGATTTCTATACCGCCCTACTCCCGAAGGACTCAGGGCGGTGCACAGCCAAACAATAAAAACACATACAATACAAAATTTAAAAAATAGAATAAAATCAAATTAAATAATTTTGGCCCCGACAAATTTAAAACCCCAAACTTTTAAAACCAATTTAAAATTGAATATATAAATACTAAAAAATATTTAAAATTTTAAAAATCTTTTATAAAAGAGGGGGAAAATTAGGCCAGGCCGGCCTGGTGAAATAGTAAGGTCTTTAAGGCGCGGCGGAAGGTGCGCAGATCCGGGATCCTCCGTATCTCTGGGGGGAGCTCGTTCCAGATAGTAGGTGCCCCCACAGAGAAGGCTCTCCCCCTGGGGGCCGCCAGTCGGCATTGTTTGGCTGACGGCACCCGGAGGAGCCCCTCTCTATGGGAGCGTACCGGCCGGTGGGAGGCTATTGGTGGTAGTAGGCGGTCCCGCAAGTACCCGGGTCCTAAGCCATGGAGCGCTTTAAAGGTGGTAACCAAAACCTTGAAGCGCACCCGGAAGACCACCGGGAGCCAGTGCAGCTCGCGCAGGAGAGGTGTTACATGGGAACGCCATGTCGCTCCCATTACCACCCGCGCGGCCGCACTCTGCGCCAGTTGGAGCCTCCGGGTGCTCCTCAAGGGGAGCCCCATGTAGAGAGCGTTGCAACTTGTCTCTGAGACTTGTTCTCACTCTCAGGATATTAAAATTAGAAACTTCAGAATCAAAAATTGTATTGTGGGAATTAAAATTTCTAATTTTGCTAATTTTCTAAAAGTTAAAAGGGTGTTTTTTTATTATTCTGCAGTATGTTAACTTGCTAAGGCTTAGCTATCAGTGCAGTAAATCAGGTGGGGAGCTTATGGTGTTCTAGGTGTAAAGGAACTTCCATCAGTCAATGATGAGAGATTAAAGTTTAAATTCAACATTTTGAGGACCACCAGTCATTCATTCTTGCTGTCTAGGTTTTTGTATTATGAAATCTAACTGTTTTGCTATGCTCAATACACTAATTTTTGAATGTGTATCCACTGCTGTACTCATTTTATTTAATTGCTACATTTTAAGTTTATTATAGAAGATTGTAGTCTCCATTCATCCAAAATAATCTGATTTAACATTATTATTTGATGACAATTGTAAATAGGAATTAAAATGCTTAAGAAAGAAAAAAAGACAAAAAAATACCAGTATCAATTTCAGGTACATACAACTGAGTGATAAATTATTTGAATTCAAATAGAAGAGAATATTTGTAGTATAAGTTTGAACTATGGCATTCTTGGTATTCTCTAAGGTGGGTTGTTTGTTTCGTTACCCAACTAGGGAACATCAAGAGCATGAGGCATGTGGGAGACAGGGGCATCCATAATGAGGGATGAAAAAAACAGGGTGATGATCCCTGCAGCAGAACAAATGAAAGCTCACCTCTTTTCTATGTGTCTGTGATGTGATGTCCATGTATGAGTTGAATTTAATTATGCTACCTGTGGCTGCCATCTTCAGGTTTTTTGATACAGACACAAATCCTGCACATGTGGTAGGTTGGGCTGGACAGCATAGAGCTGTATTTCAGAACATTGACCATTTTCCAGAACAATGACTACAGACTATCTCAAATTAAACTACTTAATTTTAGCTAATAGTTAAGGGGAAGAATTATCAAAGAAACTGTTTACTTGCTAGCGTTTCATTCCACTGCAGTCATCAGCTCTGTTTTTTGTGGAGGCATCTTCAATCCATCATTCCCCCTCCCCCCCCCCCCGAAGTTATGAACTTACACATTCTTGTACAAACTTCAAAGCTTCAATGCTTGCAAGGTTGTGATAAACACCTGAGCTTCAGTATATTAAGGATTGTGAGAAGAAATTTATTTTTATCTTTTAAACAGAATGCTCATTAGCTAGTCTAAATACTGATGGACAACAAATATATTTCTAAGTTTCAATGTGCTCTGTTTACTGTAGGTACTGCGAACCTGTGGCACGCATGCCCACATGAAGCCATGTCACCCGGCATTGCCTGTTTGTGTTCCGGGTTTCTGGCATGCATGCACATACAACAATCAGTTGTCTGCGCGTACGGCAGTGCTGAAAACCGGTGTACGCTTATGCGCCAGCCAACTGATTGTCGGGTGTGCATGTGTGCCAGAACCTGGAAGTTTGGCTTTTCTGGAGTGTGATCCCTTTGCGCATGCGGCAGTGCCGAAAACTGGTGTGTGCATGCGCACTAGCCAGCTGATCATCGGGTGTGCATGTGCGTTAGAACCCGGAAGTTTGGTTTTTCCAGAGTGAGGCTCCAATGAGTACGCACACGTGCACATGACATTTCCATGTGACCTTTTCAGCAGTTGGTGCCGAAAAGGTTCGCCATCACTGCTGTAGGAGAAAAACAGGCAGTAAAAATACTACAAAATACAGCAGAAGAAAATGGATTAAATTTAATTTTAATTAAATTTATATACCGCCCTTCTCCCGAAGGACTCAGGGCGGTGAACAGCCAAAAGTAAAAAACATCAAATACAAAATTTAAAAACATTTTAAAAATATATTAAACAATTTGGCCCAACAGTTAAAATCCCACATTTAAAAATTCAAATTAAAATTACACAATTGGAGGGATTAGGCTAGCCCAGCTTGATGAAATAAAAAAGTTTTGAGGGCCCGACAGAAAGTACGTAAGTCCGGAATCGTCCGTATCTCCGGGGGGAGCTCGTTCCAGAGGGCAGGTTCTCCCACAGAGAAAGCTCTCCCCCTGGGGGCCGCCAGTCGACATTATTTGGCCGACGACACCTGGAGGAGCCCATCTCTGTGGGAGCGTACTGGCCAGTGGGAGGCTCTCGGTGGCAGAAGGCGGTCTCGTAAATATCCAGGCCCTAAGCCATGGAGCACTCTAAAGGTGGTCACCAACACCTTGAATTGCATCCGGGATGCGACCACCAGGAGCCAGTGCAGCTCACGCAGAAGAGGTGTTACATGGGAGCGCCATGACTCTCCCATAATCACCTGCACGGCCGCATTCTGGACCAGTTGGAGCTCTGGGTGCTCTTCAGGGGGAGCCCCATGTAGAGAGTGCTACAGTAGTCCAGACGGGAAGTGACGAGGGCATGAGTGACCGTGCGCAAGGAGTCCCGATCCAGAAAGGGAAGCAACTGGCGAATCAGGAGAACCTGATAAAAAGCCCCCCTGGACACAGCCGTCACATGTTCTTCTAAAGACAGCCGTGTATCCAGTAGGACACCCAAGTTGCGAGCCCTCTCTGTGGGGGCCGACAGCTCACCCCCAACAGTCAGAGATGGCACCAACTGACTATATCGGGACACCTGAAGCCACAGCCACTCGGTCTTGGATGGGTTGAGCTTGAGCCTGTTTCTCTCCATCCAGATCCATAGGGCCTCCAGACAGGGATATCATGTCAAGGGCATCATTGGGGTGGTCCAGGGTGGAGATGTACAGCTGAGTGTCATCAGCATACTGATGGTACTTCACCCTGAAACCACGGATGATCTCACCCAGCGGCTTCACATAAATGTTGAACAGAAGGGGTGAGAGGACCGACCATGCGGCACCCCACATACAAGGCGCCTCGGGGTCGACCTCTAGCCTCCCGTCAACACAAACTGTGACCGGTCAGAGAGGAAGGAGGAGAACCACTGAAACATGGTGCCCCCCACCCCTAACCCCTCCAACCAGCGCAGCATGATACCATGGTCGATGGTATCAAAAGCCGCTGAGAGATCTAACAGGACCAGGACCGAGGAGCAACCCCTGTCCTGAGCCCTCCAGAGATCATCAACCAATGCGACTAATGCCGTTTCCGTGCTGTGCCTAGGTCTGAAGCCCAACTGGAACTGATCGAGTTAGACCGCTTCATCCAGGTACTGGGGGAACTGTCACGCCACCACACTCTCAACAACCTTCGCCACAAAGCGGAGGTTGGAGACTGGACGGTAATTTGCTAAAACAGCCGGGTCCAAGGAGGGCTTCTTGAGGAGGGACCTCACCACCGCCTCTTTCAAGGTGGCGGGAAAGTAGCCCTCTCTCAAAGAAGCGTTGACAACCCCTTGGAGCCAGCCTCGTGTAACCTCCCGGGAAGCCAGCACCAACCAGGAGAGACACGGGTCCAGTAAACATGTGGCCGCACTAAGTCTACCCAGAATCCTGTCCACGTCTTCACGGGTCACTGGGTCAAACTCCTCCCAGATAACACTCTCAAGACCTGTCTCCATCACCCTGCCTGCATCTACCCAGTCAGAAGACAAAGTGGAGGAAACAGTAGTAGAAATAATAAAAGTAATTATACAGTACAGTAAGAAAAAAGAGATAGTTTCACCTAATACAGTAGCCCAACACCATTCCTGTGTTTTCCTTTTCACAGAATGTAGTGTTGAGGAGAATTAAAATATTACGTCACTACCATCAAAAATATGGCTGAATAAGGAAATAACTATGTTAGTTTTTAATGTAGTGTTTCAGAACATGATAAAAAATTATCAGTAATTTTTTTTCTTTCTATGAGTCTTTTAAAGGAAAATCAAACTGATCATTGTATAAATATTTTCAGTGATTAAAAAAAAAGTCATCTAGTTTTCTTTTGTGTGCCCTGTAGTTGCAACTGTTGCTGTATATTAACCTAATTGAGATTGACTTTGAGAAGCAATCATTCAGATGCTCTAGAGCTGACCTTTAAGGATTGTTTTGGATTGTTTGAGCTGCCTTAGTTTTACGAGTATTATACCATTATTCTTCATGTACTTCATTTAACCAGGGTGAAGCATTGTGAAGGAATAGAATATAAGCTGGATTCAATACATTTTAAAGGTCCTATTAGTCTCCTAAGCGATTGACCTCTGAATTTGGCAGACCATTAATTTAAATAAAGAAGGAACTGCTATCTCTTTGCTGAACTGGAATGCTTCATTGTTGCCTGTGTATTTTCATGGAACTGAACTATTCAGAAAGGAAGATAGGATGGGAGAGAAAAGCAGTCCTGGTACTAAATGCCAGCAGGGCTCCTGCATGCTGTCATGGCAACCAACATGGCTCCTTGCCCAGTACCAGAACACCAGGAAAATAAAAACACAGGCCTTCATGGGTGAAAGCTCAGTAGAATCTTAGAAATTGCTCTGCACATTGTACCCACCAAAGATTCTTTGTGCATTTCTTCTGTACCTGATGTTCCTTTTAATTTTATAAAAAGGCTACAAGTTTTCTTCAGAATCTATCAAAGGTTATTCCAGTAGTATTTTTACCCTGGTCCCAGAGTGATACAAATAAAAATAACATTGTACATCCTTTCATTGTCACAATCTTATATAGAAAGACTTGCATACTTAGTGGATGAAATTTGGATGGAAGAGTCCAAAAATAATGTTCCCAATTAGCCATAAAGCTTATTGTGTAGCCCTGTAGAAAACCAAACTGCAGTTTAAACCAGATGAAGCTAAAAATAATATTCAACCGTTAATGACTGTTCAACGTTACAGTGAACCTGAAAAAAGGTATGCTCCATCCTTGGTTAGAACTCCTACCTACCATTACCGCAGGGGTGGGTTCCACTTACCTTTGCTACCGGTTCACAACAGGAGCATGCTTGCATCACGTCTGTGATGACGTTCCGGGTGGGTGGAGCCTCCCACTGCCGTTACTACCGGTTTGTAAGATCCAGACCGAACTGGTAGCAATCCACCACTGAACTACCCCACACAATCTCAAGTAATCGCGTGATTACATTTTGGGCATTTGGCAATTGGCTTACTTTTATGACTATGGTTGCAGCATCCTATGGTCACATGATCACAATTTGCCACACTTTTTGTTATTTTCTAGCCAAAAAAAATGCCCATTTGAGAGAATGGATCTGCTTAATCATGTGATTTACTTAATGACTGATGGCTCACTTTATGACCATCATAAAAAGAGTAAAAAAAAGCCAGTCAGGTAACATGGTGACCCACTTAATTACTTCAGTGACTTACGATGAAAATTCCAGGCTTTTTTTTTTTTTATTTGATTTATATGCCACCCTTCTCCGGAGACTCAGGGCGGCTTACAATGCGTTAAGCAATAGCCTTCATACTTTTATATATTTATACAAAGTCAGCTTACTGTCCCCACAAACTGGGTCCTCAATTTACCTACCTTAGAAAGGATGGAAGGCTGAGTCAATCTTGAGCCTGGTAAGATTCGAACTTACAGTAATTGTAGACAGCTGGTGTTAATCACAATGCTATCGGTCTGCTGAGCCACTAGGCTTAATTGTGGTTATTAAATAAATGCTACCTGAATTTAAAAGGCCTATTGTAATTATTGATAAATGTGATGCCAAAAATAAGCCATCTTTTTCCATTTCTCCCAAAATGCGAATATAGTCATCACTTTTAATATGATAGTTTTTTAAAATTACAAACTTGATAAAATGATGCTGTTTGTTCACTACTGAATTCATAAGCTTGACATCCTTTGACTTTGCAATAATGCAGTTGGACAGGTGATCTATGCCTAACTTTCTCTTTTTTCCTTTCTTAGGATCCAGGTGAACGATCTTATCGTTGAGGTGGATGGCACCAGTTTGGTGGGCGTGACTCAAAGCTTTGCAGCTTCTGTGTTGAGGAATACCAAGGGTAGAGTCCGGTAGGGGAACAACGTGCAGCCTAGTTTTCTGGTGGGAACAGAATATGTAGCTAGTTTATCTGTGTAAAAAATACAGAAAAGGAAACGTATGATCTCATTGAGAGTTGTACTGCAACATAGGAAAAAGTTCTACAAGCAGATATTTTTGTTTCCTGTGTTACCATTGTAGGAGTAAGAGGGCCACTGATAGGTTTTCCTGCCAGCCATGGTTTTGCTTCTTCTGTTTATATGTCAAGCAGATAGATAATATTGGCTTAGAAAATTTATTACATCATGAGGCAGCCAAGAGGCCGTAGTCTTAATGGTTTCAAACAATACTTTTGGTTTTCATTTGCTGTCAATAGAACCTTTATTTGCAAATCAAGAACAAAGGAGACACATAGGAATTCACATGAAAAACAGCATGAATCAGATAAGGATAAAGATTCCCTTTATTGCGGTATTTTTTTACTGATCAGACAAAAGAGAGAAAAAGAGCTACATGATTAGATGTGTTTAAGGCAGAGTTTATATCTTTCGTCCTGGCAGGACATAAAGATTTTAGCTATTTCCTATCAGACAAAATTCAACTATTTGGATGTGCAGTGGTAGAAGCTCACTTACTGAATTAAGTGATGTATCATATTTTTTAAGACACAAGCATTTTTATTGCAGTGCTTTGGAATAGAAACAAAAGTACTAATGCTGAAGATGCAGATGAAGCTTAGTAAGTGTAATCCTTCTCCATTGTGGAAATCTAGTGCCTGTTACCCCCCATTGAAGCCCAACATTATATACATCAAGTCATATATTATGTTCTGGTATTACATATTACAGTAAATTCTCAATTGGTGTTTGAATTTGATAGCATTACCTAAGTATAGTCCTGGTCAGATGCATTTTAAAATATAACTATTGTTTATTAAGAGAACATTATAGATTCATGGCAGCTTTTTAATTTCTATATTCTCTCCTGCCCTCACTCCACCATCGTTACCCTTTTGTTCTTCAAAACCTACAGTGCATCTGGTAAAAAAGGAAATGGGAGAAATAGAGGGCGCTGATACTGCTGGATTTTAGAGCATAGGCAAAAGAGGAAAAATCATCTCACCCCCACCAGATTAATGATGATGAAGTTTGTGGTTTTCATGTGAGTGTGCACGTGCACATACATATACGCGCGCACACATTCTCCGCGATCGATCGATTGATATAGATATATAGATATAGATAGATGATAGATAGATATAGATATATAGATATAGATAGATAGATAGATAGATAGATAGAGATAGATAGATAGATAGATAGATAGATAGATAGATAGATAGATAGAGATTATAGATTGTAGATGTAGATGTAGATGTAGATGTAGATGTAGATGTAGATATAGATGTAGATGTAGATGTAGATATAGATATGCAGAGAATCCAAAGAATTATGATCAGAACTGGAAAGGAAAATTAGGTGGAAGTTTTTGGTTTTATTTTTTAAAATACCTCTTTAAGGAAAATGTTTTATGAAATAAACATTTTGTTTAATGAAATTGGCAAGAACCCTTACTTGGCAATGTTGCCCTGGTGGGATTGGGTCCATTTTATAGAAACTGAGGCACAACACCCATTATCTCAGAATATGCATCTTTGCATCATAGAGAAGTGTTCCATATCAGGGATGTTTCATTTTCTAAAAAATGAATCAAGAAGTTTTGAATGGACTCGGAGGGTGGAAATTATATTGAGCTCTGTGTTCACTGCATTTTCCTGTCAGCTGTGTTTCTATCTGTCCTTTATCCATACAGCTGCCTCTGTGGCCTTTTTAAAATCTCACCAGAGGCATTTGGTCTGCCTTTTCCTGGCAGTATTAAGAATTCAAGGCTTGGCATTAGCCCAGCATCCTTGTAATGTTGGTTTTAAAAGAATGAACTGCTTGAAAATGGTCTGTCACCAAACACATCTAGCACAAGCAGACACAGATGATGAGTGATTACAGAAGGCACTTTCTATCAGAAGGCCTCTACAATATAGGGACTCAGACCTAGAACTCAGTCCATTACTCTGAGATTTACGTGCTGCTCTGTTCCCAAGCGACAGGAACTTCAACTATGAGAATGGGTTGCTAGGCAACTAGTTTCTTCCATATTGCATACCATCCATTCTGCCTTTGCAGGCAAAAGATTGTATTAACCAATAAAGTGTTTGATGATCAATTTAATTGTTGCACTGACCCAATTTAGCCACAATTCCCTCTGTTTTGTTTTTTTTTTAAATTACACTGTTCCACAAAATCGTAATTTCTGCCTAGAGCTTAAATTTGTGAAAGCAGAAAGGGTGGGGACATTTTTATAAATCTGATAGTAATTTCCTGTAATCTGGAAGCCTGATGCAACTATGCTGGGAACCGTGTGTCTTTATGGAGTTATTCAGACCTTCATTCTATATGTGTTCAGAGGCCTTCAGGTTTACTCTCCCAATCCTGAGCCTTGAATAACAGAATAACACAGTTGGAAGGGACCTTGAGGTCTTCTAGTCCAACCCCCTGCTCAGGCAGGGAACCTGACTATCCGAATGGTTGTCCAATCTCTTCTTAAAAACCTCCAGTGTTAGAGAACTCTCAGCATCTGCCGGCAAGTCGTTCCACTGATCAATTGTTCTAACTATCAGGAAATTTCTCCTTAGTTATAAGTTGGTTCTTTCTTTGATTGGTTTCAATCCATTATTTCTTGTCCTCCCTTCAGGTACTTGGAAAATAGGTTGACCCCCTCTTCTTTGTGCTGCCTCTTAGCTATTGGAACACTGCTATCATGTCACTTCTAGTCCTTCTTTTCATTAAACTAGGCATATCCAATTCCTGCAACCATTCTTTATATGTTTTTGCCTTCAGTCATCTTTTTTACTCTTCTCTGCATTCTTTCTAAAGTCTCAACATCTTTTTTATACCTGGCGACCAAAACCGGATGCCATATCCCAAGAGTGGTCTTACCTAGCCATTTTAAAGTGGTACTAACACTTCATGTCATCTTGATTCTATCCCTCTGTTAATGCAACCTAGGACTGTGTTGGCTTTTTTAGCAGCTATAGCACACTGCTGGGTCATATTTAAGTGATTGTCCAGTAGGACTCCAAGATTCCTCTTGCAATTACTACTATTAAGCCAGATACCACATATTCTATACCTGTGCATTTGGTCTTTCTTGCTTAAATGTAGAACCTTAATTTTCTCATCATTAAATTTCATTTTGTTAGATAGGGCTCAGAGTTCAAATCTGTCAAGATTCTTCTGGATCTTGAGCCTATCTTCTGGAATGGTGACTATTCCTGTCAGCTTGGTGTTGTCTGCAAATTTGATAAGTTCCCCTTCGATCTCCTCATCTAAATCATTGATGAAGATATTGAAGAGTACTGGAACGAAAACAGAATCTTGGGGTACCTCACTATTTACTTCCCTCCATGTAGATGTGATGATGATGTTCGGCCATCATGTTGGAAGAGGACCTTGACATCTACAGGTTGTGGGCTGTCCACGATGTGTCCGCAAGTGGCTGGTAAGGCCTATACGGGCACGAAATGTTCTGCCACATGTCAAGCAGACGTGTGGGCACCATTGTTGCAGCATTTGCAGCTCTGGCTTTACGGAGTGCTTGCTTCTCTTGGGAACTACATCTCCATGTAGATGTAGTTTCATTAAGGACTACACATTGAGTGGGGTTGGTCAGCCAGTTATGAATCCATCTGGTGGTGATGCTGTTTAACCCACATTTTTCTAGCTTACAAAGAAGCAGGTTGTAGTGTACTTTGTCAAATGCCTTACTGAAATTCAAGTAAACAATATATTCACAGCATTTCTGTGGTCCACTAATTTTGTCACATTGTCAAAGAATGCAATAAGATTTGTCTGGCATGATTTGTTTTTGACAACTCCATGTTGGCTTCTGGGTATGACTTTTTTTGCCTCTAAATGTTCAGAAATTCATTGCTTGATTATCTTTTTCGGAATTTTCCCAGGTATTGATGTCAGGCTGGTTTCCAGTTTCTTGGATCCATTTTTTTTCCTTTTGTGAAGATGGGAATTATATCAGTCCATCTTGAAAATCAGCATTAAGGATAGCTGTGTTAGACCTAACTCAATTTAAGGTCAGGCTTGAAAACTCTGATGCTTTTTGCCTCTCTATTTCTGGGACACCCAGGATTCATCTGGTTTTTGAGTAACTCAACTTCTCTGAGCTATATTTATGTTGGAATCTACCTCCCCTGATGTTATTCCTATTGGTGAGAAAAGAGAGGCATATCTATTTTCCTCCAAGATTAACAGAAATGGTAGTGCTATTTAAAAAGTCATATTAGTAAAGAAGAATGAATAATTCCTCATCCAGTATATGGTGCTAATTTAATTAAGAAAGCCTGGTAACTGATTTTAAAAATTTAAGGAAAAGAATCTGATCTCATATGCCTGAACATTAAGACAATTTATTTTGGCTCTGAAAATCCTCTGATGTGGTGTCCATTTAGCACTGCAATAGGCAGTCCATTGGTAATAAGCAGTTTAGGATTTTTGCTTTGTTTGCATTCACTGGGTACTGCGATCATATCCCCCAAATTGCCACAGCAAACCACCAAACAGTGGCAGCACAGTTCCCCTATTTTCAGCCAGAAGCAAAGGAACACTTGCGTCATAAGCTTCAGATAAATTTAACATACCTAGAACAAGCTCTTCCTTGAATGATTGTGGGGTAGGGAGGTTTCAAGCCTGACCCCACACATTCCAGTGAATTTCCTGTTTTCACATGAGTTAATATTTGAAAGGAGACTTTTTTCAGACTGAAATTAGCTTGCCGAATTCTTGATGTAAACCATTTCAGCATTATCTTAGTGTGAAAACATGACGTGTAATTTTCTTGTATGTACTGCTTTCTTTATTCCAAAGAATTATTTAAAGTAGTCATCAGTTCTGTACTACCTTTGTAAACAGTTGAGATTATATCTATTATGGTCTTTTGTTACAAAGAAAAAAAATACAATTCAGGCCACTAAATGTTAATTTCCCCTGAATTAGTAGGAGAAAGTAGTGTTGGTATGTGTTAGTTTTTGCTGCTCGTCATTTGCTCTGATTGAAGCATTTAGAGTAGAAATAAACAGATCTGTGCATATTTATTCAAGAGCTAGAATACCTTTCACTTCGTTATAGATAGAGAGAAAGAGAGAGATATTGAAATATAGCCTGGCTACCTAACTCCAGATATGTTATTCGACCATACCGAGATTTCCCTTATTACATTAATGCCATGCATTCATTCTATTCATTTTAATTTCCTTTAGATTCCTCATTGGCAGGGAGAAGCCAGGAGAGCAGAGTGAAGTGGCGCAACTGATCCAGCAGACCCTGGAACAGGAACGATGGCAGCGAGAAATGATGGAACAGAGATATACCCAATATACAGAGGAGGATGAAGAAGTAAGTATAATCAATTTCTCTTTGCCTGTGTGGAGGAGAGGAAAGTAGTAGAGCTCCAACCTTAAATTCAAGGAAGCTGAACAGCTGTTAACATTTGCGAAGACCATTTTAGCAACCATAATGAAACTATGCTTTGACTAAATTTGGAGTACTGATGAATTTCCTTAGGCTCCCAATTCTTTCTTTATAACTGGAGGAGGTCCTGTCTCTTCTTGATATCATTTTCTATGCTGCTTATTACTATATTAGCACCTCACACTGAAACTGTAGTTACCCAAAACATTTAAATATGTATTTCTGTATTTTGCTTCATAAATGATATTGGCATAGAAAGAGCAGAAACAAGCTGAATGTCCTAGTTTTATGTAATGTGTCATTTGAAAAGAGAATTAAAAGAAAGTGATATACAAATTTCAGATTGAAATTAGTTTGCTCATTTCTTTTGTGCAAATCACTCCAGCTTTACCCTTGCTTGAAAACAGGAAGTGTAATTTTCTTGAACTTATACTTACTTCCTGAATTCTAAGGAATTGTTTAAAGTAGTCCTTAGTTCTATACTTAGTGTGCTGTCAGGGTGAATATCAGAATGTCTAATTATAAAACCTGTTTTTGTTATTTGCAGACAGGAGAATATGCTACAGATGAAGATGAAGAGATGAGCCCCATGTTCCCCAACAATGAAATGGCTATTGAGGTTTTTGAATTGGCTGAAAATGAAGACATGCTATCTCCAGTGGAGATGGATCCTGAAAAGCTAGTGCATAAATTTAAGGAGGTATATGGCTTTCTAAAGTGGAGGATGGGTGGGAAGGTAGCTGAAATTTACGTTAAATGTGTGTATAGCAACACTACTACTAGGACTGGATTTAAAAATAAAACTTGTTGAGGAGTAGCTGGATAGGAAAGAAGAGGAGGACTTAGATCTCATTGCAATGAATATTAGCAGCAGTTTGGTAATACACTGACAGGATATAGTGAAACCAGCTGCATTTCCTCCCTTCTTGCTCTGATTAGAGAAATAATATAATCCACAGTTGTTCATTCTTAGATCATATAATTAGTTCAGGAAACTATTTTATTTACTCTAAAATACATTTTGACTTAAGCCAGTAATACTTTTCCCCCAAAATAATGTTTTTTAAAGTATAAAACTTAACACCAAAAAAACAATATTGAATTTTAAATGATCACCCTTTACCTTAAAGGCTAGACTAAAACCAAGTTAATCAACTTCTACTACAGTATTCTCAGGAAGTTTTTATTTTTTAATTTATTTATCACATTTTAGAATTGCCCATCTCCCTCACAGAGCAATGGCCTACATTAAAATATTAAAACATAGAAACAATGTATAAAAATTAAAAAGAGACAAGGGTGATTGAAAACAATATTAAAAATTAATTAAAAGGTGAAGCTAACCAGCCCCACAGTTGTGTGCTCCTCCACTGCGCTTTCCAAGCAAGGCCACATGTTTCTAGTCCTGTCTGGGTGGTCAGGAGAGTGGGGTTTGCCTCACCTCTGGAAGGAGAATGTTCCAGAATGACAGAGAAGGCTTACTTTCCGGACTCTGCCAATCAGAATTCTTTAACTGGCAGGGTCCATAATATACCTCCACTGCCTGACCAGGTGGGATTGGCCAGTGTAATGGGACAAAGACAGTTCTATACTCTTATGTTGTCATTCCTCCTAGTTAAATGTTAAACTGTTACTCGGTGGGAGGGGGAATTAATTTTACCTATAAGTAGATACAGTATTTCTGTAAACTGCTTCTTACGAGAGGAATGCCTCATAAAAGATGAAACACTTCCTTCCTTCAATATTTATTACTTAATCATTGCTTGTTTTATAAAGGGATATCCTGCATCATTCATAAAACAGTCTCTGCCTTCAGGTTTGCTTCCTGAAGAGGAAAAGAAAAAGAGAGAAAGAAAAATGGATTGGATGGGAGATGAAAAATGAGGCAAATAGCTTGTTAAAGACAATATTACTTAAGAAAACGGGCTTTAAAAAATCTTTACACTCAGCAGTTCTGATGTAATCATTGGCCTTTTTAGCTGCTATTTCTAACTGTATAAATCAACCTTTCCCAACCTGGTGCTGACCAAAATGCTATATTGTGAAGTCTGGGGATGAATGGCTAACACACTTGAAATGCACTAGGCTAGGAAAGGCTGTAAAACAACCTTTAAATGTCTTTCACTTCTTCTGTAAGGCAGTCTTAAATTTGGGTTCTGAAGTAACTCCATATTTCTATTAGGATCACCTGGTTTTCATGATGGCATGAGTGAAAGGAAAGAGTTATTTTCTGGAGGTTTTGAATTTTTCAGTACTCCAAAAAGAATGTTTTGATATTACAGCAAACAAGCTGTAATATCAAAAGCAAACAAGTGAAGAAGGAAAAGACAAGGTAAACATTGTTGATAGTGAGACATGAGATGACAAGTAAGTTGATCTAATAGAATTAGAAAGGATAGTTTAAATCATGGCATATAACCGCCTGATTTAGTGCAGGAGTCTAAATTGTCTGTCATAGACTCCTGCTTAGCTTCTATATGAAACAATCCCATAAAACGGAGCTTACCTCTCTTGAAGTGTTTTTATAATTAGGACATTTATCCTAACATTTAATCAGAATCTGACTTTCTGAACCTTAATCTGACTTCTGTACCTTAACTCCATTATTCTAAATTCTGTAGCAAAAAATAACATGACTGTTTCATGTGTGACATTCTTTCAGGTATTTGAGCAATTCTACTGCATATCTCTCTCAATCATCTCTCTCAAAGTTTCTAGTTCTTGGATCTGTCTTCACAGTTTTTTGTCCTCTAATCACCCTTGTGGTTTTCTGATTTCTCTGAGTATTTCCTAAACTACGATATCCCAAACAGGACTAATAGTCAAGGTCAGATATGACCAATGCAAAGCATAGTGGAACAAATATTTCTTAGGATTTAGAAAATTTACCTCCAATGCATCTTAGAATTGCATTGCTTTTTTTCCAGCCACTGCAGATTCATACTCAGTTTGCAACCAATTATATTCTAAGATCTTTTTCACAACTAGCAGGCCAGGTATCCCTCTTTATATGCCTTGCACTTAAGGTTTATATGCCTTACACTTAAATGTAATGAATCCATTACATTTAACATTATTATTTTGAACCTAGGGATGCGGTGGTTCAGTGGCTAAGACGCTGAGCTTGTCGATCGAAAGGTCGGCAGTTCAGCAGTTCAAATCCCTAGTGCTGCAAATCAGGGTGAGCTCCTGTTACTTATCCTAGCTTCTGCCAACCTAGCAGTTCAAAAGCACGTAAAAATGCATGTGGAAAAATAGGGACCACCTTTGGTGGGAAGGTAACAGTGTTCCATGCGCCTTTGGCATTTAGTCATGCCAGCCACATGACCACAGAGATGTCTTTGGACAGTGTTGGCTCTTCGGCTTTGAAATGGAGATGACCACCGCCCCCTAGAGTTGTGAACAACTAGCACATATGTGTGAGGGGAACCTTTACCTTATTTTGAACCTATTTCTCTAAATTGTTTTCAATTGTATTTGTTCTTACACAATATCTGTTTTCACACCCTGTTTTTGTCATTTGTAAATCTAATATGGAGATTATTTGCTAAGGGAAGATTTTCCTGTAATACGTTTTATTTATTCATTGGATTTATATCCTATCTTTTAAGTATTCCCACCACCTCCTCATCCAAGTCATTAATAAAAATATTAGAAAATTCAAGATTATCCCCTTAATACTTCTCTCCAATTCGATGCAGAATCTTCTTTGAATATGATTTCCAAGTCAACAATGTATCACTTTCTTGTTACACATATTTGTTAATCAGCATGTCTCTGCTGAAGTTAAAATAGGTTATGTCTACAGCATTTTCAAAATCTATTAAGGAAATTGCTCAATTAAAAAGGAGATAAGATTAGTAATGCGAAATCTGTTGTTAACAAATCCGTGCTGATTTTTATTAATCACATTGTATTTAAAATACCTACCTCTTTATTTATGGTGTACTCTAAATTCTTCCCAGGCATCAATATTAGATAGGTTGGGCTGAAGTTCCCTGCATCAGTATTTTCCCTTTGCAGGGACAGTATTTGCCCTTTTCCTATTTTCTAGCACTTTACCAATTTTCCAGGATTTCTTTAAGCATAACTAATCAAGCGGCTCATCAGGCAGTTATTTCATTAGCTTAAGATGCAATTAATTTGGCCCTTGTTGAATTTCAAGGAATATATATGTCTCTTTGATTGTATTCCCATTTGTACCCACCCGCAGCCTGAACATTTCCTGTCAGCAGCTTTTTTTCTTCATATGATTTTGTTCATTTGGCCTTCAGTCCACAATGGGCAGTCTTAAATTGTTAAATTGTTCTTAGCTAAATGGGTAGAGCTCAGATTATCAACAGTTGTTTTAAAAAAATCATTCAAAGTTACAACAGAATTTATAAAAGTTAATCCATTCTCTAAATTACAACTGCTGTACCATCCACCCGAACGATGCCCTTGAAGTGATGTCCCGGTGCCTGGAGGCCGTACAGATCTGGATGGGGAGGAACAGGCTCAGGCTCAACCCATCCAAGACTGAGTGGCTGTGTTTTCCGACGTCCCGATATAGTCAGCTGGCGCCATCGCTGACTATTGGGGGCGAATCATTGGCCCCCACGGAAAGGGCTCGCAACTTGGGCGTCCTCCTGGATTCACGGCTGTCTTTAGAAGAGCACTTGACGGCCGTGACCGGGAGGATTTTTCATCAGGTTCACCTGATCAGTCCCTTTCTAGATCGGGACTCCCTACACACAGTCACTCATGCCCTCGTCACCTCTCGTCTGGACTATTGTAAAGCTCTCTACATGGGGCTCCCCTTGAGGTGCACTCGGAGGCTCCAACTGGCGCAGAGTGCGGCCGCGCGGGTGGTTATGGAAGCAACGTGGAGTTCCCATGTAACACCTCTCCTGCGCGAGCTGCACTGGCTCCCGGTGGTCTTCCAAGTGCGCTTCAAGGTTCTGGTCATCACCTTTAAAGCGCTCCATGGCTTAGGACCTGGTTATCTATGGGACCGCCTGCTACCACCAATAGCCTCCCACCGGCCAGTACGCTCCTATAGAGAGGGGCTCCTCCGGGTGCACGTCGGCTCAACAATGTCGACTGGTGGCCCCTAGGGGGAGAGCCTTCTCTGGGGGGGCACCTACGATCTGGAACGAGCTCCCCCCGGAGATATGGAGGATCCTGGATCTGTGCACCTTCCGTCGCGTGCTTAAGACTTTTTTATTTCATCAAGCTGGCCTGGCCTAAATCTTTCCCCTTTTAAATGTAAATTTTAATTTGTTTTAAATTATGGGGTATTTTAAATTCAGCCAAATTATTTAATTCGTTTTTAATCTATTTTAAATTTTTGTATTTATATGTTTTATCTTGTGGCTATTCACCGCCCTGAGTCCTTCGGGAGAAGGGCGGTATAGAAATTTATTAAAATAAAATAAATAAATAAATCTCCGCTATTTTATGATCGCATTTCAGTGCTTGGGAAGAGACTTGCATTTACGATCAGTTGCAGTGTCCCTTGGTCACATGATTGCATTGTGCAACTTTTTCCCATTTTCCAACAAAAAACTCTGCAAAAACATTGGATAAACTGGATTTATGAACATGTGATTCACTTAATGAAAATTGTAAAAACACTTAAAAAAATCGAGTTTGGTCATTGACAACCACAATGAATCACTCCCAAAATTCCATGTTCAATTGAGGTTGCCTTTTTCCTTCTTAACCTGTTATACTTTGCTACCCATTGCACTGAATATAGTCAGGATCAGTAGTGGATAGGATTAGAGAGGCATTTTATACTCCATATCAGACTGGTATCAGCATACCCAATAATATCTGGCCCTTGATCAACCCATTTGCTACCATTATTCTCTTCTTTCCTAAAGAACTGGCCAAAACAGCACAGTGCCTCTGATCCTTCAGATTTGTGCAGGAGCAGTAGAGCTGAAATTGGGGAGGGGGGCTTCTTTTGCATGCCTCTGACATACTTGCTCTTGCAACTTACAATTTTTTTCCAATCACGATTACCTATCTGCCTATGTGGGACAATCAGGCATCTAGATATCACCTATGTACAAAAGTGGAAATCAGGAACTAGATGATATAAACAGCTGTCTATCAGAATTGTATAATAACACTAGAACACTCAACCAGCAGGGTCACAAGTGGTTTATCTCTGGGGTCCTTAATCATTTAGTGCAATACTGAAATAGCATAAAATCCACCTCTATAGCTGCTTCCACAAGACATGACAGCACTTGGAAGTTGACATTTGTTACCTTTATAAAGGGGAAGGTGCTATCTTGTGATTCAGATTTCTTCATGGCTGATCTTTAGTTATTAAATCCAGTTTGAATTTAACTCAGATTATGACAGAAGATGGTAGAAGAAGAGGAGCAAAGGAAAGAGCCTACTGTAGATAGACAACTTCTATGTCTGCTGAAGTATTTTGATTGGCAGTTTTCTTTTTTCTGCTAGTTGGTAGTATGCAAAGGGGCAGCTAAATGAATGGACTTAAATTGCTTTATCTGTTATGTGCTACATACATATAGCTAGAATAGTTCCATTCAGGAGAGGTCAGAATAGAAGTACTACTGACATGGTGGGGTCATAGTGGTAGTCATAATCCTCTTTGTGGGGGGGGGATGGTTTTGAAATATAGGATATAACACTTCAGAAGGCTTTTATTTTCTCCTCTTAGTTTCACTCGTCAGAGAATAGGACATTTCTGGGGTCCTTGGTTGTTTTCTTGCAGATGTTTCATTGCCCATTAACATCTTCAGTGCTAGCAACTAAGCTCAGAGAGCATCAAGGAGTCCAACCCCGAAATACAAATATTCTTTACAGTTGGTACTAGGACATATGAATTAGTGCTGCAATCTTAATAAAACTATATTTTCTTCATCCCTACAAACGCCAGGAATCATGCACTTTAGATTAGTCTATTCAAGATGACTCCAGACTTACATCTTGCAGATGATAGCGATAAACACTAGAAATTGGGAATGAGTCATAACAACATTTGCACAGCTCACATTGCTGCTTCAAATACTGTTCCTGGCATTCTTTGTGCACAAAATAGCTGTGCACCCTTTTTGAATGATTTTAGATCTGGTACACAGATCTGGCACATCCATATCTATCCCCCTTTCCCCTCAACTACAGAAAGGTGCTATGAAGAGCTGCAGATGGTTAGCTCTCAAGCCCAAGCATCTGCAGTGTATGAATGGTTTTAAAAAGGGAAGGATTTGGAAATGATTGGTTGGAAAACATTAAATGTTTAATGTTCATTGCTTTACCAGTAATGTGTGAAGTGGTCCCTCATCAACCCTATAATGTGTGTCAGCAAGTTTTCATTTAAGTAATCCAGTCACGGCTGTTCAGGGTTGATTTACTGACATGGTGAAAGACAGAGAAGGAGAGTGCATGTAAATAATTGTCACAGCAGTGCTAAATTGGAGTCTTAAAAAGACCCAGAGGATAGAGGAGGTGGACAGGATTCTCTGCTCTGATTTTAGGGTGTTGAGAAAGAGCAAAAATGAGCCCACACCTGCCTTGGGGTGCCCATCTGTTTGTTCTAAGGAAGGTTAGAAGACAGTAAATGGCACGGCTAGTACTGCATATCTTGCTTGCTCGGTTTTCTCTTCTCAGAACTGTGAGGCGCTGGTGGCTTTAGCAAGGGACACTTCTAATTCTTGATAAAAGTATACAAACCTGTATGTGCGTGTCTGTGTTGAAAAAGATCTTGGCATGCAAGTATTGCTGTGATGCAAGTTACTCGAATAAAACACACCTGAAATTCTGCAGAAGATAGTGATTGCTTTATTGTAATTTAATTCTTGTCCCTATAGAAAGATGACAGAAGTCAAACAAAAAGTATTTTGTGCAGAAAGGGAATAATAAGTAGACCAAAATGGCAAAGGGCATGATTTGATAGTTGAAGTATTGCACCCTGAACATGACTAAAATTAAACATTTTAGTGTTTAATTTTAAAAGCAACATCCTGGCAAGTGCTTACAAAACTAAATCTGCTCTTCCTGGTCATTTTCATGGCACTTCGTTTTATTAACACTCATCAGCATATTGGAAATATCCAGATGAAATGAAAGCTGGCTGCCTAATTTGTTTATTTATTTATCTTTAGAAAATGTTTTGCCTAATTTTTATTGTTTAATAAAATAAATCCTAAAGCAAACCCTTTCTCTATGAAATGCAATAATAAGCTTTGGGTTTTCTTGATTTACGTACCGTGTTTCCCAAAAAATAAGACCCTGTCTTATATTTTTTTTGAACCCTGAAATAAGCGCTTGGCCTTATTGCCATGCGCTCAAAAGCCCGATTGGGCTTTTTATCAGGGGGTGTCTTATTTTTGGGGGGGAAAGGGTATGAAAAATAGGGAAGGAGTTAAACTCACTATGTCTTCCTTTGGCAGCTCCAGATCAAGCATGCTGTGACTGAAGCCGAAATACAGCAGCTGAAAAGAAAGGTAAGAATGAAGGCTGTGAGGACAGCCATAAAATCTTTTGCTTCCCTTGGAGACTTGCCAAAATCCATTCTTGAGAATGTTTTCCAGAAAAGTTGCAAGAACTGGCTCTGTGGATGTGCCTTGTAATAGCTGGACTATTTTTAATAGTGCTGTGCAAAGCATTTGAAATGGGATGGGCAGAAGAACAAATGAAGGACTTCTCTTTGAATTTTCAAAGCAGCCAACCGGGAGGACATGGGCATAATCTATATTTAGCTTTTGCTCACTGGGTAGTCCTAGGCACTACAATTTTTGTAAAAAGGGAGTTTTTGTAAAATTAAAATGGAGTGCCCCCCCCCCTCCCATATAAGCTATATAAAATGCCACCATGGCAATTGTATGAATTCAGTACAACTCTTTCATGGATAATTGTATTGTCTTCAGTGTTTTGACTTTCCAACTGAACTGCTAGAATGCTACCAGTTGGAAGTTCTGTCTTGTTATGCCTCCCTTCCTTGTTTCCCATGGTTAGATCTTTTGTCAAAAGTTGGAGAGCATCTCCTACTTTATTGCGTGAACATTCCTTCTGGCCCCTTTGAACTTTAATTGGAATATGTTACTTGTGCTTTTTCCTTTGCTCTTAACTATCTTTGAGATGAGCTATTCCACAGATAAAAAATTGGTTTCTAAAATACAGTTATAATGGCAATAAATCATAGCATTTTTTTTTCTTTCCATAACAAGAGTTCTGCTGTGTAAGTTACTAGCTGCCCACTTACAATTTCCTTCACACTGTTTTAAGCTGTAAGGCTCTTAAATCATCTGGTTTGGTATTAAAAAGAGCTGAAGCAAGAATAATCCAGCTTGCAACAAGAGTCAAGCTTAGAGTACTAATTTTCCCCTTTCCAATTAAACTGACACCTGTCCACTATCATCCATGTCTGAAAGAAATGTTGCAACTTTTTATGAGGCTGTTTATGAAGGAATTTAAGCATAGCACAACATATTTCAATCTAACGTTCTTTACATTTTTTTAATTGTAATTTCTACAAACCCCTACTATTTGCCATGATGGCAGATGGACAGAATTCAGAAAGAAATGGAAAGCATCAGATTCCAGTTATCTATTCCTGTCCCATCCAGTCCTACATTGCTATTGGATGTAAATTTGTAAATTTATGTCACTCTGGGTTATCTATCCAGATATGTTCAGATTTCAAAAACAGTTGCTGGCTTTGTAAACAATATGAATTTCTCAAGCTTTCATTCCAGTGTAAAGATATGGAGCTATGGGTGCCTTATGAATAGTTCTTCGATTTGTTCTTTGTTTTTGTTAGTTTTGTTTGTCTGGCTTTGATTTTCATTAAGATCATTATTTGTTTGGTTATTTATTTTATCCTACACCAACTGAAATGAATGCAATGCAACTAATTAACTTATCAATTAACACGTATCTATTTCCTCTCACACTCTCTATCTTCAGCTACAATCAATTGAACAGGAGAAAGCTCGCTGGCGCATTGAGAAAGCCCAGCTGGAACAGAGCGTAGAAGAAAACAAGGAGCGGATGGAGAAGCTGGAGGGATACTGGATGGAGGCTCAGAACTTATGCCAGGCTGTGGATGAGCACCTAAAAGAGACCCAGGCCCAGTACCAGACTCTGGAAAGGAAATACAGCAAAGCTAAGCGACTTATTAAGGAGTATCAACAGAAGTAAGAACTAGAATGCCAGATCTACTTCATAATTCTCAACCTCCATCCCTTCAGCTCCTGTTCTATCATAAGCATGCTTACAAACCATTTCCCAAAGCTAGAGTACTTGGATTAGCACCATTAGCATCCAATGGGATTGGTAGGCATATAGAACAAATCAGGTTACTGAGAATGGGCAGCATGCCTGATCAAACCGTCTATCAAAATAAACATAACTCCACGCGGTTTCTTAAAACACCTTTAGTAGTTTTAATATGATTTTTAAAAATCAAGCTGTGCATTCTTGATAAAGGATGTGAGACAGATAAGGAAAATAACTAAGCAAAATGATCCTCCCTCCCTCCCTTCCTTCCTTCCTCCCTCTCTTCCTCCCTCCCTTTTTTTGTTTATTAGTTATATGTTATATGTGAAGTACTAGCTGAACCATTTCACAGTTTGAGGACTGGTAGTGAGTGGCTTTTCACAGAATATTTGCACTGTAAGCAGAAACTATAGTCTGATTTATATAAGTGGGATGGAATCAGGAAATGATTGAAAATGCTGGTCCATTTCAAAAGGTATGGAATTATATGCTTAATGCATCATCTACCAACCTACCTACTTACCATCTATCTATCTACCTACCTAATACTTCAAAAGAGAAAAAGATATTACTGTTTTGTGCCCAATATATGAATTTTGAAGTGTGTTCACTTATGGTGAGGATTTTTGACACAGAGAAAGCATTCAAAATTAAAGTGTCTGTTCTGTTGGGTGCATTGAATAGACTAATTAGATTTTTTTAAAAGCAGAACATTCATCTGAGCTAGAGGGTTCCAGAGTCAAATATACTTCCCTGAAATATTTAGGCATAGTTTGCACAACTTTTGCTGAAGTTGCTACTAAATTGCCATTTTACTTAATAAAAGGGGAAATTATTATTTAAATAGAGACAAATGTTTAATTAATTTAAAATTTAACTGTTATATACTAAATAAAAATTACTTTTTCTATTGGGCCTGCTTACCTTTTTGTACCTTCTTTTAGCTTACAACATGTCAGTCAGATGCAAATGTAATTCTTTTGCCTGAAAGAAGTTGTGATCCTATGCTAGTGAGATCCATCCTTTTCCACCATTGGATAGTGACTGCATTTCTGACTTTGGTTTTTAATCTCTACCTCCTTTTTCCACTTGCAGAGAAATAGAGTTCCTCAAGAAGGAGACAGCTCAGCGTCGCATCCAAGAGGAGTCTGAATTGGCTCACAAGGAGGAAGTTGACAAGTTGCAAGAGAAGGTGGGCATCAAGGACAGTGCTGGGGGCTTACCATGACCCCAGAAGGAACGAGAAAGAAGGAAAGGGATGGAGAGGCCATAAGTTCTGCCTCAGGACGCATGAGAGAACGCTTGCTGTTAGAAGGACCTAGCTGTAAATATGAGCACTTGTCACAAGGCTGACAGATGGGGGAGGAAGAGGGGTACATGCCAGCCTTTCTGATCTCCTTTATTGCTGGGCATGAGTCTTTTTATCTTAGAGGATGTCATCTGAAGCAATCAATCATTAGTTAAGCAGTAGATCCTGCAGCTTGGGGAGGAGAGGGGAATATCTTGAATCCTTCTATCTACAGATAATTGCATCTCATACTCTTTTCACCCAAGGATCTATCTTTGCATAGTGGAAATCCTTTAACTGTATCTTTCAGAAGCTTCTATGGGAGAACATTTCCATCAGATATTAAATCCATTGTTCTCCCCCACCTACCCCAGGTCCTGCAATCTGAGAAACCTATCTGATTTTACATCAGAGCATATCAGATCCCATATAGATCTCTACGGTTCAATCTTAATTTAGGAATTGTCTCTTCTTCATATACATTTTCTCTGAATGGGACTCTCAGGCCTCATTGATTCTGCAACAGATGTCATGATCAAATATATACATATGTATACGTACAAACACACACACACTTATTATTATTATTATTATTATTATTATTATTATTATTATTATTATTTACTGGGCCATGGGGAATCTGCCACAACTTGAATCTTACATCAGGCATGTCAGATTTGTCAGGGTTTTTTCATGCTTTTGTTTGTCAAATGTTGGTGCACATGCATGCACATTTGTGTGTGTGAATGGCTCTGTGTTTCTGTGATAGGCATGCCTGATATGGAAGCCAAAACCAAAGTGAAAACCTTTTCTGTGAATATCTTGGAAACTCTAATGGCTATTTATTCACTAGCTCCCTCTGCAGTGCATTGTTGGAAATTCAGCCCCTAAAAAGTAACCATTTATATCTTTTTAAAGTGGTCTTTCCCCTTACTCACTACCCTGACCCAGTTCATGGAAACAGATCTACTTATTATTAGTTACAAATGAAAAGAGCGAGGTTCACAGGTATAAAAGTTTTGGGGGAAACAGGGTAGAAATGAGCTGCCACAATCTAGATTTTAGATAATGGATTTTTTTTTTATTCCTGTTTTCTGCTGCAATATTCAGACTTAGGACTTAGAAATAAAACAATAGATTTATGGGCAGAGAGAACTAGTTATGCTTAGTTATGTTAGATCTTCCTTCCTTTACAAAGTTAAATTAAGAGTACATTGCATGACTGTTTTTGAAATCTGAACAGTCTAATCTTTATCTAACAAATGTAAACATTACAAACCATTATTGTGAAAAGTACAAGATTTCACTATAATTCCACTTCTTTTTAAAAGGAATTTAACCTTTATTCAAGCCACAAAGTCAAGGGCTTAGCTCTGCTTTCCCAGTTGTTCCTCCCATAACGTTCTCTTTTTCCCCAAACAGTTTTTCATCATCATCGCTCCATTGATTTCTCCTTGACCTGATCCCCATGTATGTTGCTGATCAACATTTTCTTCTCTCCTTCTCTGTTTTGGCACAGTAGCTAATTGTTCACAAGGTTTCTAAAACAAGTACCTTGATGGACAGTGCTGATGGAATTGGGCAGCCTATAAATAAATAAAGGACACAATGACAGAAATTTTGGGACAAGTCTTAGAAGGAAGGATAGCCAAAAATGGAGTTTCCAAAGATGTTGAATCTATTTACTGCTGCAGTAATGTTTACAAGATAATACCTTTGTGATTGTTAAGTCCAAGCTTGAAAACAGAAGTGGGGTCTTTGTGATGTTGTCTTTCATTGGCATGCCAAAAATCAAGGATCATAGGCGTAGTCTAACATCTAGATATCTGTAAGTTCCCTACTACTTAAGCTTTAATCGAAAGAGTTGTTTATTTATTTATTCCAGAAGTGAGCAAACAACAGTTCATGAAATGTACACATAGCCTAAACCCCATTTTTGAGGCTCTTCAGAGCTTTTTTCCAGGACTGTGATATTTGGCAGCAGTCACATTTTTTCCTTTGTAAATTAGGAATAGCTTTAAAACAGATTCTGTACTTTTTTTTTTTAAAGGATCTCTTGAAAAAAAATATTTTTTTCAAATCTAACTTAGGGAGCTCATTGCCTATATGGGTACCTCCATCTTTTTTAAATCAATAGAAATTTTTCATATTCTTCAGAGTAGTCTCACTGCATTGTAGTAGTCTAAATTTGATATAATTGAAGCATTGGTAAATGTTGCCAAATTACACCCATTCAGGAAAGTTCTAATGCCGAAAGCATAGTTGTGTAAATGCATTTCTTGCCATCTCTACTACCTGAAGATCTATGGCTACCATTGAATCAGCTAGATGGCCAACTCACAGATCTTTTGTGGCTGTGGATAATACACCCACTTCTTTTAATAGATGGAATTCTTGTCCCCAAGTGTAGCCCCATATCCAAGTAATCCATTATTATGGTCAAGGATTTACATACATCCTCTCACATATGACAGTTAATGATCTGAAAATATAATAGCCCTATTATGGGAGGTAAGTATATTTTATTTTAGTAGAGGCTCGTTTCTTCTCTTTCTATTAATGAATAAGAAACAGAGTCATCCAGAAATATCTGTGCCATGTGTATAACTTGCAGTCCTGCAGATTTTTCTAATTCATGCCTTCAACCCCAGTCAGCATGTTTAGTAATGAGGAAGGTAATTCAACAAACTATAAAGAACTTGATATATAGCAATGCAACAGGGGATGAAAATGACATGAAAAGAGATTACAGACCTAAGCCATTTGAAATCTGCAGTAAACAAGGTTTCCTAATTTGTATTCATATACATTTTAGCATTATCCTTACTGTCCTTCGCTGCCCTTAATTATTTTTTCTCACCATTTTTTCTTTTAGCCATTTCTTATTGTTATCTGAACCAGCCAGATCATTGGTGTCTCCAGCCACATTATCTGCATTTCTTTCCTAAATCCACCTACCTCTTCCCCATCCCAAACGCTCCTTACTCTGCCTGGAGAATTTCTCTTTATCCCTTTCTGTTATATGTTTTTCAGATCTCTGAACTGGAGGCGAAGCTGCAGACTTTGAAAAATTCCAACACGACTTAAAAAAAGAGAGAGAGAGAGAGAGAGCAGAAAAACATATAAACCAACCAGAGAAATTAATTCATCTTATTATTAACTATTATTACTATTATTCGCAAGGGACATCTTTAGAATTTTTTTCCACCCATGCCCAGTCTTTATTCTTCCTCATCCTGTGCCTCGTTCCCTTTATTTTACTGCAGGGGAAATACTGTAAAGCCCAGCACTGTCAGAAGAACTACTGCAGCAAAAGTAGTAGATGACCTTGCCATCTGTTGAGTATGAGGCTGTGAAAGACCAGGTGGGGTGGTGAAATTCTAGATGGACTGCAGAGACACAACCCACCTCTTGATGGTGATGAATCATTGTCAGTTTCTGTGTCCGGTGTGTGTCTTGTGTCAACTGGAGAAACAGATCATGGAGGGCGGGAAGGTGGTCATCTGTGTCCAGTGATGTATGTCTTCTGTCCCATCTGCCTGATGAGAATCTTTATGGATTGGGACTGATGCCCCATGTCTATACATTGACTTGTTGGCTCTTCAGTTGTGCAGGCAACATAGAAAGACTCTGCTGGTGACAAATAAGACCAGCGGTTTTCATTTTGCTTCCTGAATCTTGATCTTATGAGCTGGGTGGGGTGGAGGGTGGGACACTTGTCTAGCTTTGAGATGGGAAGATCTTTAATTTTCCTTTGGACAGCTTGGAATCCATTGTTCTCTATGTTTTGTGGTGGGAACTATATCTGTTTTCTAACGAGTGAGCCAGCAGGAGGTTTTGTTGGCCATCTTTGGGACATCCCTGCTGGCAACTGAAAAGACATCATGATTGACTTTTACATCAAGGAAGAAATATCAGCCTGTTTTTCTTTTCCTCATTACATTTTATTCATATTATTTTGGAAGATTCCTGGGAATCTACATTCTGGAGACGAACAAACTGGACTCTCTCAAAGGACTTGAGGGTTCAGAAGTAATTGCTGAGAGCAAATATATCAAGGCAGCTGTAGCCAGGAAATGAAGCCAGAAACTTTAGGAAAACATGGAACTGCCATTCTGTATTTGCATCTCCAAAGGCCACCAGTTTGTGCTGGATCCATCTCACCACTGTCAGCATGAGGGTTTGCTGGGGAAATTGGAATCTGGAACTAATTAGGAGCAAAACATGAAAACAAAGCCCTGGTGGTCAAAAGCAAAGTGTACAATGAATCTTGTCTTTTTAATTTAATGGTAAGGGTTATTGCATTTTGTTTTCATTCATTACATCGGGTCTGAGGACCACTGCACAGATCCATTTAGTGCTGGGATTTAGAGTTCATCTCTCTTGTTGGCATACTGCTCTCCCTGGCAGTGACACAACGTCATGTGTTGCCCATATGTAACCCTGTCAGTATCTTAACTTCAACACATTTCTTTGCTGAAGGAACAGTTAGTGTAGACAGTAACTACAGGAAGGTCCAAAATGCTACAACACCTTAGCTACCTGGGAGATCTTATGCCACAGCAGTTTTGAGTTACATCAGATGCTAGTGGTGGGTTACAAAAGCTGTCCAAGGTGCCACAGGACTTCAACTTTTTTTGCCTTTCCCTCTATTTAATGAAGCAAAGTGGAATGCTATAGTTGTTATTCTATGTTCCTGCATGCTTATGAATCATGAGCTAGGAAGCAATATTCCAAAAAGCTATTCATTCAGAATCAAATATTACACCAGAGAAAAGAGATTGCAGAAGAAGATTTCTACGAAATAGCAAGTCCTTACAAGCACTCAAGTCTTGAAATCTTCTGTATTCCATCAGTTTCATGGTCAGTTTATAAGCTACGCAATGTTAGTGTGAAGGATCTATGTAACTGGGACTAATGGCCAGTGTTTTATGCAGGGATAATATTAAAGAGAGTAAGGAAAAAACAAGACTTGTTGTGAAGTGTAGCATGCTGAAACTCAAGAAGGATCTCCAAAAATGTTTTCTCTATTAATGGGCTTGGTTCATACAACATACCAAGCCATACTGTAGTTTGTTGGACATTTACCATGTGCAAATCCAGCACAATTGAAGGTTAGTCAATAAACTACAGTAAACATACCATAGTGTACATGATGTGTGAAACCAGACATGTCTATCCTTGTTACTTTCTTAGACAGAATCTTTCTTGTTAGTTACTTAGACTTATTCTTGTGCCTGGATTTTAGTTGAATGTTGTATTATTTAAATAATTTTTAAACATGCACCCATAATCAAGTCCCCGTATAAGACTTTGCATATAAAGTAAGTTCCTGGGAGTTGAAAAATATGGAAGTTCCTTCCCTTGCTGGTGTTCTCCATGGGTGACGTTACAATTCATATGGTTCCAAGCCAGCAGATGAGCGTTGTAATTCAGGACACCCAGAAGATACAGGTTGGCAAAACTTCCAGAAACAACTGTTCTAGATTGTTTTATCTTGTTGTTTTAAAGTATATAATGTAAAAAAGGGGGGTGGGGTTCAAATCATGCAATTTCTCTCATCCAATCACAGCACCACCTATTAGACAATACCTGGCTCATTCTGGTAATATTAAGTCTTTTGACAGTATTTTTAATGGCATTGTTACCTGCCCTCAGTTATTTATTTAATATCTTCTATGAGAAGTGGCAGTAGAAGTATATTTTGTAAAGTTGCTGGAAAAGTAACTTCTTTTGTCAAAAAGAACTGAGCAATGCTACTTCAAAAGCTTGCAATTAATTATTTTAAAATAGTATTCTGTCAGGAAAAGTCTAGAACATTTCCTTTAGACCACATGTTCTGGTCCTCGTGCTCATTGCACTTTTCACTGTGGGGAAGAAAATCCCAGGATATTTCCTTCCTATAATTTGAGAGAGGTGTTCTTGGATTAATACTGCTGTGGAAAAAAAAGATACTGGTGATGAAAGAGATTGAATATCAGGGTCAGCATTATACAGAAGTTGGTTTATTTTGAAGGATGATGACTTCTTTCACTTCTTTCTCCAGGATTCACCTAGAAATTTCCAGATCCCATAATGAGGACGTGTAGTTTATTTGTGATAAAAATCATTCATTTTATCCTTCATTATTTGGAATTCCAAGGTTTGATGTGTGAAAAGTGTTCACACATAAGATGAGTATTCAAGAAGATCCCTTCCCAGAGTTAGGTTAATCTTTGGATATTTCCGTGATCTGTTTATATACTTACATTGGTCAAATAGTGACAATTTGGTGGATTATTTTCCAAAGTTTAATTTATATATGGAATGAGTATTCTATTCACATGCCATGAATTATGAACAAGGAACTTCAGCATGGCAAATATTTTGGATTCATTAATCACAAATTAAAAACTGAGATGTCCAAGTTTTTATCCTAGAAGTGGGGAATCAAAGGATTTGGGAAAGGGCACTTTCCTATCTCCTCTACATAGAAAGGGTCACATTGTAAATGTTCTCACATATCTATCCTAAAGATCTATCTATCACTGCTCTTAAAGCTAAAGGCATCATACTGTATGTTCATGCACATATAACGTGGGGAGTATGCATTTTAGTGCTCTGTGAATTGCTCAAAAGTTTACTGCAAGTCTAGTTCAGCTAATTTACAGCCTCAGTCCCCTTTATGTGTTATATTTGTTGCAGCACATTTTCCACCAACTGCTGGGGTGATAATGGAGTTGGTGGTCTGACGCTTGAAGGATCCAGGTTCGGTAGGAACTTACATGTGTATGATTGAGTGATGTCATTCAAAATAACACGTCCTATACTATGTTCTCTTTATGCATACAGATGGAAGAAGTTGCAGAAATAGCCACAACAGGAGAAATTGTGCCATTCTCCTAATAACATGGGAATTCCCATACATACAAAATGAAAACCATGGAAAGTAGCTCGAAAAGACTCTCCTTCATCTCCATACTGAATTACAGCAGATTAAGTAGGTCTGCATCCAGCAAGATAGTATAAAAGATATACAAAATGCTCTAACTGGATGAAAGGTGGACAGGGAACTAATCTTCTGAAAAGCAGATCAGATTTAAAAGAAAACATCTTAAATTTAATCTCACAAGTATAAATGTATATGTATATAATATATATATGTATGTATGTACGTACGTATTGTTCCTGGTTTTGTATTCCAATTGTCCTACCATCTGGTCATATAAATAGCAAGATTTTGTTTCCAACCCTGTTCAGTTTTTCAAACATTTCAGGGGAGGAACTTGCATGAATGCACTTGGCTGACGTAGCTAAAAATGTTCTTCAAGAGAGTCCTTATAGAAGAGCAAGGGGAAATTTTTGTATAGATAGGTGGATAGGATGTAACCCATTAATGAGGATTCAAATATAAAATCCTCTTTTCATCGTGATGTTGGCCTTTTTTCTTCTCTCTGTTTCTTGAACAAAAACTATTTAATCCATCACCCAACAAGATAGCCAGGTATGGAAAAGTGGTGTGGAAAGCATTTTTATGGTGTCTGCAGTGTATGCATATAAATGGATAACTGCTCCAGAAATTCATACACTGAGAGATACCAATATGATTTCAAGATGGGATTGTATAACTTCCATTAAATTCCATTAATGCCTTTTATAGAGCTCACTTTTGGATTGCAGAAGAAATGAGTTATGAAAATATCAAGGCAGATTAATGTTATAAGAGTCAAGTGAAAGTAGGAGCAGCTTAGGGAGGGGAGTTGCACTTCTTTTAAAAATTGTTCTGCATCTGAGAATCACTGTTGGGACACAGTGATAAAGGGATGTTTCTGGGTGAAGTGGGATTGTAATGTTCACCCCTATAGGGAAATTGGGAATAAGTTTATTATTGCTTTTAAAGCAAAATAGATTTTTAAAACCTATTGGAGATTTCACAAATAGCTATTTACTTTTTTAAATGCAATATATATATATACTGTAATTCAACAATTTGCTACAGAAATTTGTCAATTGAAGGGGGCTCAAAGGAAGTGCAAATAAAAAAGATGCAAGACATCTTGTAACTTCATGGGTCAGAAATTGCCCATGCTGTGCAATAGGACAATCTTAATAGCAAGTGAAGTTCTCAAAAAAAGTGGGTGGGAGAGGTAAATTCAATTCAGAATTGAGCTGTGTAATTCACTTAACTATTTTAAATTTTGCCTTGATGTATTCATGGAGAGGCCACTCAACATCACTGGGGTTGAAAATGTTTGGTTGGGACTCAGAAAGCATGCCTTCAAATAGAAAAGTCTTATCACATCAGAAAGCCACAGTAAAAAGAACAAGTTTACCAAAATTAGAGGTAAAAGGTGTAAACAAGCATGAAATGTATTAGATTTTTAATCCTGCCTTTATTACTTTATAAATAACACAAAGTGGCGAATGTACATAATATCCTTCCTTCTCTTTTTCCCCACAACCTTTGAGGTGGGTTGGGCTGAGAGAGAGAGAGTCTGGCCCAAGGTCATCCAGCTGGCTTAAATGCCTAAAGCAGAATTAGAACTCACAATCTCCTGAATTCTACGCCAGTACCTCCACCATTACACCAAACTGTCTCCCTTTAAAAAAAATTAATTTGGGTTTAACTATAGATTTGCCTGTGAAAATGCAGTTTGCCATTTGTGTTTCTAGGGTGTTGCCATGCAAAATAGTATTTGAAGGGTCCTTGGTGCTCTCTGTCTTTAATTGTTTCCTTGCTAGTCACTAGCATTGGTGATGTTACCTAGTTTGGGTAATTAAACAACTGCAAGTGAACAACAAAGTTCAGAGAGCACCAAGGATCCCTGACTTCAACCCTGAGCTACAAATATTCTCCTTTAAAGTAGTGTTGCAAATGTATATTTCCAAGACTTGACTGATTCACCATTAAAAACAAAGTGTTTGGCTTGATATTGGAAGACCTGAAGACTACACTTAGTCTAATGTGTATATTAATAAAAGCTAATCAATCTGCCCTTTTAATAGCAAACTCTGGTACTGTTGCTAATGGTTGTGTAGTGAAATGGTGGTCAACAAGATGAGAAATCTAGTCATTTTAGAAGAAGCATGGTGTTAGATGGGTTTGAGGAAACAGCCCAATAAGGATGGGGCTGTGCTCCATCATTATTGGGCTGTGCTCCATCATTATTGGGCTTACATGAGTAAGAATGGAATGGAGCACTCTGGAATGGACATGGTTACCTGGCAGAAATGTTGCCAAATTGCAACATTCACTCACAGCTTTTCTTGTAGTGATAATAATGTTTAAACTACAGCTATGTGTGATTCATTCTCCTGAGATAAATGATACAGGTAGTCCTTGACTTACAACCATTCATTTAGCAACTGTTGGAAGTTAAAATAGCACTGAAAAAAGTGACTTAATAATCAATCCTCGCACTTATTGTTGTAGCATCCCCACAGCCATTTGATCAAAATTCAGTTGCTTAGCAAACAGCATGTATATACTAAGGCTTTAATGTCCACGGGTCACATGATCACCATTTGCGACCTTCACAACTAGCTCCATCAAGGAAAGTCAATGAGGGAAGCCTGATTCACTCAGTGTTTGTGTGACTCACTTAACTCAGTATGGGGGGAAAAGGTCATAAAATCAAGTGCAACTCATTTATCTGTCACTTTGCTTAGTAACAAAAATTCTGGTGCCAATTGCAGCTGCAAGTCAAGAACTACCTGTAAATGAACAATTTAGATGATTGTGGGAGATGAGTTGCTAAAAATAAAGGAAGATCCATCACATGAAGACAAATAGAAGACAAGTCTGTTGACCCATACAGAATTCTACATAAATTGTGTGTGTGTGTGTGTGCGCGCGCGCGCTCTCGTGCGCATATTTCTTTTTTAGGGTAAATAGATAATTCTGTATGTAAGCAAGCCACTTGCTAAATTAGGAGTGTGATGCTCATTGAAATCTTGACTACAATTCCTATAATTCTTTGTCATTAGTCATACTAGTCATTGGGAATGCTACAGACTCAAATCAATTGTGATTTAGTCGGTAATTTAGTACCAGAGACTTGCTGTACCAGGCTGTTGATTAATAATACCACCTCTTTGAATCCAAGCATGTATATTAAAAAAATAAAACTCAATGAACGCCTTATAATGTGTCCCCACTTTAATAGTGCAGTCTTGATGGCTTCACTAATTACATTAGTTCAGGGAAAGAAGCATCTTGTGTTAATGAGTCCTGGTTTTTAGAAATGCATTTGCCAGTCAAATTTCATCTTTGGTACATTTTGAAAGCTAGGACCTTGGGTGCAGAATACTGCAGACCTTAGAAGGATTTTCACCACCAATTGCACCAATTCCCCAATTTTCTTTCTTTTTTTCCCTTCAATATAGAGTAATAGATACTACAGTGAGATCGAATTTGGATCAGTCACCAGAACTGACCCAAATTCGACCTCACATCATTATCCTGGAACACATGTATTTGTCTTCATTCGTGAGATATTACAGTATTTGGATTATGGACACGGCAGCCCTGCTTTACTGTGCATCAGAATATAGGCCCCTTTTAATAAACACAATCTCCTGATTGGCTTGTCTTTCCAAAGGTGGAAAACCTTTCTGAAGCTCATCTAGTTCAGTTGATGAAATTCTTATAAGCCTATCTGCCTTTTTTCATCATATCTTGCTAAAGAAACTAGGAGAAGAATCTGTTTCTTAGAAAAAACAGAAAACTGACAGCAGAAAAAGACCTAGTGGTCTATCAAGTCTGCCCTTTGAGTTTATTTCTTTTTTAATGTATTTATTTATTATTTTTTAATTTTTGTCAGGTGATGGGCAAGTGTTTATCCCAAGCACGCTTCAGTCGTTACTGATGACTGACCCACTACCTCCACTGAAAGTTGGTTACAAGCTTCCACTATTCTTTCTATGAATTTCTTTTCTGAAGATTTAAATTTGTCATAATTTGAAATATGTTTTCTTGAAGTAGAAAATCAGTACATAAATAGATTTAGTAACTATGTTACCATCATCTCTAACAGCACATCCATATTGGGTGAGGAAGATGAGAGTTCGAGATGTGGGATAACTTATCCCGAGAAATTCAGGAGCTAATGAAAAAATATATATTTCACACACTGCACAAACAAATTCTCAGAAAGTTTGCTCAGCTGCAGGAATATACTTAGAATTTGTCTAGGTGCAGTATTGTTAAAAGCAACAGCTATTGCTGCACTATGGATGCTTTCCAAAGCATTATTCCAAACAAACTGAACATAATTTAACCTCTTCTCCCATTCCATTTTAAATGTCTTCAGTCAGAACTGAAGAAGCTTCTTGGTTGAGAAGCAAAATGTATTCAAAGAAAAAAAGTCCAGTTGCCTTTTGAGAAAATCATCTTTGGGACATTGCATTTTAACTATGCTATTCCTGGAAATAAGGGAAGCCACACTTAAGGTAAAATAGTCATGGAATAAAGGGACTACAACCACTACTGTAGGATTAAGGAAGGAGTTGGGTGGTCATTTAAGCTACCTGATCAAGGTAGGCATTTAGTGTTATTGCATTCCCAACAAATGGCTGTAATGTCCTGTCAAACAGCTTCAAATCCCAATAGCAACTTTGGAAAATTACCCAAGTCAACACCTCTAAAAGTGAACAAAGAAAAGGTACATCTGAGAAAAGAACACATGGGCACTGAACAGATGTGGAAGAATTACATCAAAATCAAAATGATTTAAACAATTAGTATCATGGTGCACAGCTTGATACTGCAGGCCATGTGATCCCAAAATCCTTAAGGGCAGCCCAAAGTTTCTGCTAAATAAAGTTTCTATCATTAACTGTGATAGGTAAATGTATTAAATAATTTTATTCATTCATTCAATTTATATAGTTGCTCAACTCAAATCAGTGACTGAGTGACGAACAATCAAAACAGAGAACAGAAAAGATGAAATGAAAAGCAAATAACAGATGAGATATTATAAACTATATATAATCAAGAAACAGAGCCCTCAGACACTCAGGATCCCAAACAGAGGCACATAGCCAGGTTTTTAGGAGGAAAGGTGGGGGAAGAGCCTATGCTATAGCAGAAAAAATGCCCGTCCCAGTCTTCACCAGCCGACATTTCTTTCTGAAAAAAGATTACTATTTCTTAAATGAATAGGAAATACTTTACTATATAGCAAAGCATTAGCCTCAAGCATAGTCTGTAATTACAATACCTCTGGGTCACAAGTAGGCCATACAGGCAATCTTAAAAACTTAAGTGTGCTTTATTTCCCTTCTAGTGCATAAAGTGTTTTATGATTGACCAAATGCAACATTGCAACCATTTAGCGGCAACCATTTAACATGAGCATGAGTTCTGAAAGCTGAAGTCCACCCATCTTAAAACTGTCAAGATTGAGAAATACTGATTTAATGAAATCACAACATGCCTTCAAAACTCCAAATATGCACATTGCCACAAAAAGGCTGGGAAATCTTGATTTATGATACACACATATCTGATTGGCTAGACCTGTGATGGCGAACCTAAGGCATGCGTGCCACAGGTGGCACGCAGAGCCCTCTGCGTGCACGCGAGCCGTTGCCCCAGCTCAACTCTGCCATGCATGTGCGTGTGCCTCCCGCTGGCCAGCTGGTTTTCAGGTCTCTGCTGCACATGCATGGGGGTGGGGCGCATGCAGGGGGTCACGCGAGCATGCACCAGGGGGTGGGGGCATGCACACATTGTATTATGGGTGTGTGCACGCATGTGCATGCTTTCATGCGCATGCGTACACGCTTTCGACACTTGCTACTGAAAAGGTTAGCCATCACTGGCTAGACATTTATCAGCAATTTTTTAAAATTACTTTCTAAATGAGCAGGGAGTTGGATTTTATTGCTTCAGTGAAACTGTTTGTTTATCTAGAGCTATTTATCTGTGAGCAACAGTGCTTCTTTGTATGCTATGATTAGCTATCCTAGAAGATATAGGCTTATTGCATTATCAAATGATCTTATCTATTTGGATATCCAGTTATAATGGAGTGGATACAGATTTGAATATACATAGGAAAGACCCTGTTATTGATATCCAATTCCAATGCTATTGATGACCATATCTGTAATATGTGCAATGTCATTTTAATATTAATCATATCTACATTTCAATGTCATTAAAAATCTTTGCAAGATGTGTAGTTTCATAAAACTATAAAAGTCTGATATACAGTATGATTTAAAAATGATTACTTTTGAACTGTTAGCACTCACCATACAATTTTTAAAAAAATGAAACAGCTGTATTCTACTATGTAATAAAATGACTATATATTACTAAGAAGTTCAACTTCCGTTGGCCTGAGGTCTGCATCTATTTTAAAAGCAGTCAGGGCTACAATTAATTTTGGGAACAGGCTTCAAAAGGGCTGAAATAGGCAACATTTGTAAATGTTAAAGCAACCTTTGGTCAACTAATCTTCCCAAACATAAAAGTACACCAAAAAAGCCCAAGCTTTTAATCATTCATTCTAGGGGGAAGACACAAAAGGTATGATTTTGGCTACATAATTTCTGGGCCCCCATCAATTCTACCACCCAGTTACACTGTTTATGCCATAAACTATGGCCCAGCTGTGTTAAAAGAATTCTGTTAAAACAAAAATAAATGCATTGTTTTTAAATTACATACATTAACTCAGAGTGGCTGAGCAACTATCTTTTGGAGAAGCTTTAATCTGTATTCTTACACTCAATAGGATTTAGCATCTAAGAATGCTTTCTCTCTTTTTAATCCTGTTTTATAAATTCTACCAAGTTAGCTGAATAAAATTTCTGGAGCTGTCCATTCAGCACCAAATTCTTTACCTCTTCTGAACAAATCCTGCTGTCATCTCAAAATAACCCATTTTTTTATCCCTGTGAGCCAATTCTTATAACATGGGTTTGGAAAGATGAGTTAATCACCTGGCTGGAGAAGTTTACATCACTATCTCTTTCAATTGAGGTGGGAAAGGGAGGAAATGATTCGAGGAGAGGATAAACTGTGGGAGTAATTTTCCTACAGAGGAAGGAATTTTATGAGAATTTTGAATGTAAAGGACTATCATATGCAGTTTTATTTCTGAATTGCTTAGATTCATACCCAGTTGTTTAGAGATGCCAAACAGAGGTTGAACCTAATTTAAATGCAAAACAAAACAAGAGCAATTTTGTTAATGTCAAACCAGTGTTACTTTACTGAGAATTTGAAGTACATTTGTGCATATATTTATTTATTCCCCACATTTATCCCACACATTAGGTGCCCAAATCCTATTCTTATTTTTATTCACAAAAATGTGTAACCACAGCTAATTCTTTAGCTGATATTGGCCTTTATATACACTGTTTATCCACTACCCCTAATGAAGGACATGTTAGCTCATCCAGCCAAAGGAAAGATTTTCACTAAGCTGGACTTGAGAGAAGCTTACTATAGAGTCCAAATTAAGGAAGGAGATAAGTGGAAAACCTCATTCAATTGCCCTTTGGATTGTTTCCACTTTTAAGGTGCTCCCGTTTGCTGTGTTTATGCAACTGATAAATGAGGTGCCGGATGAACACCTTTACAAGGGGGTTCTGGTCTACCTAGATAAGGGGTCGGCAATCTTAAATACTCAAAGAGCCACAAAGGCCCTAACAGGAAGCTCCCCATTCAATTGTGGAGCCAAACGGAAGTCCGGTTCCCCACACCATAGTGTCTCCTAACACGGCGTCCTTTTTCCTTTACCTATCCTAACTGAAAGCCCTATCAATTGTGGAGCTGACTGGCAACAGGGAGCCAAAGTAGAGGGATGAAAGAGCCACATGCAGCTCCAGAACCGCAGGTTGCTGAACCCTGACCTAGATGATATTCTTATTTACACTGAAACCATGAAGGAACATGTAAAGTTAATGCAATCAGTCCTGATAAAACTGAGGGCTGCTGAACTGTATGCCGAATTGTCAAAGTACAAATTTCACCAGACTAAAATTGACTATTTGGGTAACCGCATATCGCATGAGGGGATAGAAATGGACCCGGAGAAAGTTCGGGCGGTCATGGAGTGGGCACCCCCACGCACCAGAAAGCAGCTGCAAAGCTTTCTAGGTTTTGCGAACTTTTATCAACAACACTGAGCCGAGGTGGCACAGTGGTTAGGGTGCAGTACTGCAGCTACTTCAGCTGACTGCTAGTCCAGCAGATCAGTGGATCAAATCTCACCGGCTCAAGGTTGACTCAGCCTTCCATCCTTCTGAGGTGGGTAAAATGAGGATCCAGATTGTTGGGGGCAATATGCTATTTAGTATACTGTCTTTGGTGTAAGCCGCCCAGAGTCCTCGGAGAGTGAGCAGCATAGAAATATGAATAATAAAATAAATAAAATAAAAACTCATCCCCGTCTTTGCTAAAATTGCATTACCCATTACTGATCTCCTAAAGACAAATGGAGAAGCTAAGCCAAGGCCTAGCCACCCCCTTGAGTGGACCATGGAGTGCCAAGCAGCCTTTGAGAGCTGAAATGGTTGTTTGCAGCCAAACCTGTCCTTAAACATCCCAACATGGATGCCCCCTTCATAGTCCAGGCCGACACCAGTGATGTGGCTGTGGGGACAGTAATACTACAAACCAACGCTGCTGGAACTTTACAACCCTGTGCCTACACATCGCAGAAATTAACTGAAACCAAAAGGAGATGGGCAATATGGGAGAAGGAAGCATTTGCTGTCCGATGGGCCTTGCTAACTTGGAAGCATTTCCTCAAAGGGGCAAAATACCCCTTTGAGGTGTGGACAGATCATAAAAACCTAGAGATCTTAAAAACACCCTGGAAATTTTCAGTGGGTGCAACACTTTAATCGTTTTAATTTCTCCTTGCGCTATCATCCTGGGGAAAGAACTTTATGGCAGACGCTTTATCTAGATTACCCCAGTATAATAGCACTCAGCCAGAAGTGATCTGCCCGGTTATCCCCTCCAAGCAACTGGCTGCCCCAGTGGTCAGGGGAAGGTGGACCTTGACCTTCCCACCAATTTAAGCAAGCAGTTAAAGGGGGCGCTGAAAATTGATGACTAGTTCTTGTCCCATTCAAACGATTGCACCATTTGTGATGGTCTAGCATGGGTGGGGGCTAGGTTATACATCCCCACCAGTCTTAGGGGGATTGTATTACAAAAGGCCCACAATTTAAAAGCTGCTGGACACTTTGGGTTTGTGAAAATATTACACTTAGTTAAATGGCAGTTCTAGTGGCCCTCTTTGAAAAAGGACATAGAAGCATACATCGCTAGTTGTCCTGTATGTACATCTGCAAAGAGGCCTCCTGGAAAGCCAGCTGGACTTCTCCAGAATGTTGCTAGCCCTAGGGCTCCATGGAAGGAAATATCCATGGACTTCATCATTGAATACCCAAGAGTGGGGGAAATGTGGTCATCTGGGTGGTCACAGACTTGTTTTCCAAGCAGGTGCATTTTGTACTCTGCTCCAAGATTCCCTCCACAAAAATGCTAGCTAAACTGTTTATTCAACATGTGTATAGGTTACATGGGCTCCCAAACACATCATTTCGGATAGTGGGGTACAATTCACCTCCCACTTCTGGAGGGAGTTCCTGAAGTTGTTAGGTTCCACCCAAGGCTAAGGTGACCAGACGTCCCACTTTTGGCAGGACAGTCCCGCTTTTGAGCAATTTGTCCCATGTCCCGCGGCGTTTTAAAAAAGTCCCGATTTTTCATTCTGCCTCCTGAGTCCCGGCTGCCTCCTGAGTCCCAGCTGATGGCTAGAGGGAAAAAACCTGTTTAAACTCTTGCTGCGGGGCTTCAAAGGGCCGCCCTACGTTGATTAGCTCGGCTTCCCCCTCTCAGCTGATTTGCGCAGGGCTCTGCTCTTGCTAAATTGCTTAGCAGTTTTTTTTCTCTTTGTGCAAACCAAGCTCAAACGAAACTGAAAGTAAAACAGGCTGTTGGCTTTGCTGTTTGCTTGCAACGTTGGAAAATTAGGCAGCAGATTTATTTTCCTTTTCCTCACCAAAAAAGGTAGGTGCAAACAATGGGAAATTATTTAGGGCAAAAGAGGAGAGTTCAAGATTTTAAAACACAAAAGAAAAAAAAGCTCTTTTTAACTAGGGAATTGTAATAATTGAGATACTATTAATTGTATACTGTGTTGAAAGCAGAAATGGTTAAGTTGTGGTTTGGAGGAATATATGGGGGAAATTATTTGGTTTATTATTATTGGTAAGTATAATTAATTGATTTGTAAGAAATTGGATTACATGGAAATAATTGGAATATTCATGTTCATATTGATTAATATACAAAAAAGATAGTTATATAACTAATTGATTTATATTAAAATGTTGAATTTGTATTAAACAACTGTATTACATAATTACATAATTAACCAATGTGAGGATGGATATAAAAATAGATGACAATGGGAATATAGAATAGAAGGGAAAAATTGAATTTGATTAAGATTAGAGATGAGGATGAAGGGTAATATTGTTTTTTTTAAAAAATAGATGAATAAATATGGCAAAAAGGAAATATAGAAATTGTAAATTTAATTGAAATGACTAAACACTGTTTAAATTTGTGAACCAGCCAAATATTCTGTTCAAAGAAAATACATTGTATGTTTGTATGTGTGTTTCTAATTATTGCTATTTATTCATATTTGTTCTCTTTTATTCTTTAAAGTTTAACCATTCATTCTTTATCTTAATATCTTTATATTTGTTTGGGGTTGGCTTTCTTCCCTTTCATCTTTTTTTATTGTACAGCAATCTTTCTCCTCAAACCTACCACCTCTCTTTTCTTTCCTTCTTACTTTCTCTTCCCCCCACCCTCTTCTTCTCCTCCCTATTTCCTCTTCCTTTCTCCTTCTCCTCCTCTCTTCCTCCCTCTCTTACCGTCACTCCTACTCTAATTTCCCTTCCCTTCCTTCATCCCTCTCTATTACTGTATCCTTTTATGCATATGGACTACTCAGAGGGCTGAAAAAGTTATTTTTGACTGGTCCTCGCACTTTTGACCAGTCCTCGAACTTACGACTGTCCTCACATTTTACATTTTTGCCCTATCTTGTCATCATGGTGAAGAGAAGCAGTTGTGAAATGAGTGACATGGTTGTTAAGAATGCTGCACGGGCATGGCATAAATGTGAGGATGGTCATAAGTGTGAGGACCAGTCAAAAGTGTGAGGACCTGTCAGAAATGACTTTCCAGCCCTCTGAGTAGTCCCTATACACATAACCATGGCCACCCGGTCACATGACCAGCTAGCCACGCCCACCCAGTCACATGGCCTCCAAGCCACGCCCACACAATAAGCCATGCCCACAATGGTGTCCCTCTTACCAATGTTAAAATCTGTTCACCTTACCCTATACACATAGCCATGGCCACCCGATCACATGACCAGCTAGCCACGCCCACCCAGTCACATGACCAGCTAGCCACACCCACAAAATAAGCCACGCCCACAATGTCCCTCTTTACCAATGTTAAAATCTGGTCACCTTACCCAAGGCCTAAGCTCCTCCCACCACCCTCAAACTAATGGGGCTTGAGAGCGCGCTAACTTGGTTCTAGAACAATACCTCAGATGTTATGTAAATTATCAGCAAGAGAACTGGGCCGACTTACTGCCTTTTGCAGAGGTTGTTTATAATAATTCCATCCACAGTAGCACTGGCTTCACCCCATTCAAAGTGGCTTCTGGTCAGGATTTTGTACCCACTCCAGAACTGCCACAGGAGAAGCCCCAAATCCCTTCCCTAGTGGAATGGATTGAAGAGCTTCAGTTTATCTGGCCCATCACCCGTAAGGCATTAGACGAGGCTCATCAAGCCCATAAGAAACAGGCTGACAAGAAAAGAGCTATGCTGAAGGACTACCAAGTTGGGGATAGGGTTTTCTTGTCCACTAAGTATTTACAGACCACCCAGAAGTCAAAGAAACTGGGACCTAAGTATATAGGCCCTTTCCCTATTGTAAGGATTGTAAATCTGGTCACAGTACAGTTAGAGCTACCAAAAAACGGTAGCTAACAGTACAGTTAGAAGGATCCACCCTGTGTTTTATGTTAGCTTGCTGAAACCTGAACATGTGTCTCCTCTTCAACCAGACCAACCTGCCCCTCCTGTTCCCCTCCTCATCAAAGGAGAGCAGCATTTCGACGTCAAAGAGATCCTGGATTCCAGGAAACATAGGGGAAAAGTACAGTATTTGGTGGCCTGGAAACATTTTCCTCCCTCTCAATCTGAATGGGTGAAAACTCGAGATGTGAGAGCCCCAAAACTCTTACAACTGTTTCACACTAAATACCCTGACAAGCCTTAATGTTATTAATGTAAATGCTCCTGTATTTCGATTGTTTCTATCTTGTCTATTTTGTGTTGTGTTTTTCTCCAGGGCTAACGCCTCTGCTGCAGGAGGGCTGAATGTCAGCCTCTTTGACACTTGCTCGCTATCGACTGCCATAGTAATGGGGAGGGGGGAAAGTTTGGTATTTGGGTGGGGAAGTGAGCTGGAGTGAAGACAGCCTGTGTGAACAAAAAGGGAGGGATGCTCTCATGATCTACTGCACAGCTGAATGGAGTTATTTATACTATGTCAAGGTCAACCATTCTGAAATACCAGATGGACAAAAACATCTGAAGATGTGCCCCACATGATACCATATGGGACAGGGATTGGACATTCAGCCTGGGGAGGGATTTGGGGAAACTTTCAATATGCAACTTTCGTGCCTTTTGCTTTTCTTTCGTTGCTATCATTTCAAACACAGTAAAAGTACCTCTTGTCTACAAACATGGATTTGGGGATTTTCTTTCTTGTGTTCTGAACGGAGGCACACCTGACAAAGAGTATATAATGGCTGTGATGGTCTAGAGTTGCTAAGGTAATATTACCTAACTTAGTTCCCTCCAGAACTAATTTTGAAATTTCCAGAATTCCTAATAGTCATGATGAATAGGCTGCCTGGGAATTTTGGAGCATATAGTTCTCATAATTCTGGAAGTACCAAATTGGAGAAGGCCATTGTAGAGATTGGGCCATGGATTTATTATGGGGTTACTTTCCAAAACTAGTACATATCAAGTGGATATCAACTATAATAGGGAGAAGAAACTGTGACACTACAGATGTCCTTTAATTTCCAATAACACTGGCCATAAAAAGGTGAGGAATTTTGGAGGTATAGTTTAGCAACAGACAAAGAGACTTGAGCTCCCAGTGCACATTTTGGAAATTCTAAGTGATAATAGCCTCAGGATTTCACTAAATAGCAGCTCTGGGTCATTCATTAGATATGAGTTGGTGAAGAATATTCAGCAGAATATTAGGAGATAAAGCATATTTCAAACATTTAACCTCTCCTTATAATTTGAACAACAGGGCTGGAAACCAGGGAGTATTTCATTCATGCATATAGAATAACAGAATAATAGAGTTGGATGATCAGGAAACCTGCTGCCCCATAGCTCAGGAAACCCATACCATTTCAGACAAATACACTGGGCATTTGTTCTCTACCTACAACGACTGGGCATTTAACAGTATCTGAACATGGGAACTTGCTCTAAATGATATGTTTATGCATAGATTCTGTGATATTCAAAACCTAAAGACCATTCACAAGGGAAGGTCGTCACCTGATGATGATGTAATCATCAGGTGACGAAAAGCCCTGGTGTAAACTAGCCTGACTCTCCAGCTCATCTGTTTATGATATATAAAAACAGTGATGCTGAGATTCTGTGAAGAAGAAAATAAACTGATATCAGTAGTTAAGCAAATCCTGCTTCTCTGCAAAAATATTACCTGGCAAATAATTCTGCAGAACTTGAAAGCTGGCAAAAATTTCCATGCCACTTGTGTTTCTCTTAGTCAAGACTTTACCTTAGGAGAAGGGGACCTCTGGGATCCATTAAGAATTGCAGATTTTGTAGTGTCCTTCTGCCACTTATCCCACCTCCTCCTCCCCGCCCCTTCCACATCCATACCAATCTGTTTGCTCATTACCCTTTCCGGCCGCCTGGAGGGATGCCTGATACCATCAAATCAGACCCAGGCCTCCTGGGAAGTCGAGAAGCCAGCCAGGCAGGCTGTCCAGCCAAAAGCTTCAAGGATCTCAGAAAAGCAGCACCGCACTTGTCTTCTTTCTGCTTCAGCCTCCCGGTTAAGCTGCTTCCAGCTTTCAATTAATTTCCGCCTCCAATACCCTGGGACCACCCATAGCCCCAGTTTGATTATTTTAGAGGTTAATTGATTTTATTTTATTGTTTTTCTTTTTTTGGTTTGGGTTGTTTCCCCCCCTCCCCCCTTTTAAATCAGCACCGCAAAGCTGCAAGCTCCACCTCCACAGAGGAAAACAGCCCGGATCTGGATGCTTCCCTCCTCTCCTCTCTTGCTTTACTCTTCTTATGCTTGATGGTTTTGATTTTGGATGCAGTTATTGCAGGAACACGGTAACAAGTAGAACTGGTGGGGGATTCAGAGAGATGATGGGGAGGAGAGAGAAAGACTCGGAAACTGCAGTCATGAGATCCTTAGATCTCTAGGTTTTTGAAGATGTCTTGGTGCCTCAGGTAAGCTACACTTCTGTGTTTCCCACCCCTTCCCTCTTGTGTTTATATGTTAGTGTCAGTGCTACAATAAATTTTAGACACTTTTGTAGCTGAGAAAAGGCCTGAGGATAAAGAAGGGAGAAGGAGCACAATATCACCAATGAATTACATTTGGGCCTTTAGCTTCAAAGGTGATGTTTCCTCCACTCAACTATTCCAGTCATCCTCGTGTTTGGGTTTTCTTGTGTTGAAGCTGAGCTGTTGCCTTGTGGTTATTTGTGGTCTTCTGTTAAAGGTTTCTTCCCACCCTATGTTTCTTTCTGATCCCACCTGGAAAGGAGAATTACAGAGATTCCTTGAATTCTGTTGGTAAAAGAGAAGGAAACTGATCTACTGGAGGAGATTTCAGAGCAAATCAACAAATGGATAAAAATCAGGGTTCACTTCTTATGATGAAGTAAAGACAAGGTGGGCGACAGACCAGTACTTTGCTACATTTGAAAGTCTCCACCCTTTGCAGACTGGTGTGTTATGATTTGGCATTCTACCAGTCATTCTTATGATAAAGTCTCTTGTCAATTTTAGTAACCCAGTTATATTTGTTATCTTGTGAAAAATAAACTTCTGTTGAAATGCAGACAATATTTTGAACACAAACAACTTATTACTCTTTGACATAGTCTCAGTTTTCTTTCTCTGTTCAGCTTTAATGGACTGTCTTCAACTGCAGGGATGACTGTATTATAGGGGGCTTAACCAGCAGGAAGCCCACCAAAAGCTCAATAGAGTACTTTCCCACTCCTTAATAAGCTTGTTTAGTTTTGCATTGCTTAATAAATGAAATCCCCAGCTGTGCTTCCAAACCACAGGTTAGTGGGTGGAATTTCATCTCTTCTCTGTTTTTCTATTGCCTTTCACAAATCCAGGTAGAGATTTTGAACATCCAGTTAATTCTGTTCCCCCCTCCCCACACCATCCAACACCCCATCACCATGAATTGGGAAAGAGATGGTGCAGTGACTGCAGTGCTCCATGTGGATTGGGGTGGGGGAGACAACCTGGTTTGGAAGTCCAGAGTGGCTTTTTGACCTTTGCTTCTTCCTCTCAACCTTCTCTGCAAGGCTGTTGTGAACTTGGGAGCAGAAAGACTCCACAGAAGCTGAGCTGTTTCTTGGACAGTTTCTTGGACTCTTTTGCAAAGAAGACAGGGACTAAACTGATGGGTTTGATGCTGCTATGCATGAGGTAGGGAAGAGGGAGTGTAAAGCTGCTGGCCTATTTATGTCTTTTCTGGCAAGCTTTCTAAAGGAGGGGTTCGTCCTACATTTTCTTTTACCAAATTTTCTTCCTTTTTCTGAACTTCCTCTCTTTATTTTGCTACAAATGTTCCTAAAGCATTCCCTTCCCTGTTTGTCTTTTCTTCTTGCTTCTCTCCCTCTCTAGTGATGCCAGATACCTGGGAGTTTTGAAAGTCAGGAGATTATCAGAAAAGGGGTGGGGGAGCCACCACCAGGCCATCCTGTTTCCAACTCATGCTGAAATGGACTTGGTGGTGGATACATTTGGTAGCAAAGAGTGTCTGGACAAAGCCCCAGTTGTGTAGGAGATAACAACAGACCATTTCCAGAAATAGGGCAATATTCCATGCACATATACAGTTCTCTATAGGGATCTCCACTTGTCCAAATTACAACTTAACAATGTTAAGTTCTCTGTAGAGAAAGCTGTTCTACACCATTTCTCTCTCTCTCTCTCTCTCTCTCTCTCTCTCTCTCTCTCTCTCTCTCTCTCTCTCTCTCTCTCTCTCTCTCTCTCTCTGACACACACACAAAGTATCAACTGCAGTAAACATAAATATGAGTATAAAACGTAGCAAGTACTTATAAGAGAGCATCTCTTACTCCATTTTGAGATAATCACTGAGATCCAAAAGTGATTCCTCTTTGAAAGGATGCACTTGGGAATGCCAGGTAGATTTCAGTCTTTTTCTTTCCTGGCTCTGACAAAGCTAGTAAGTCTTTTTGGATGCCTTATGACGGTATCCCCATTTCCTCTGCTTGTCTGCTTTCCATCTTCTTCCCACCTCCTGCCCATTCTTTCCTGCCCACGAGATTTCATCCTGTTTCTCCAACAGGCAGGCCTAAGCAGTGGCTGACATGCAGCTCAGACATGTGGGATTCCCCCCTCCTCTATATTCATTTGATCTCCAGCTTTCCCATCAGGCTAAGGAAATGCACAAAGCTTTTGTGTCAGAGAGAGGGGTGGGGTTAGATATGGAAAATTGGCCAGCAGGGTAGCTTGGCTGATGTTAACTGTTCTTTGATGGAGTGAAGAGACCTATCAAGCCACAGTATCATGCAAGGACTAAATGCACGTACAGTACAGAATGAATTTCCACCACCCACATACAAGAAAGGAATCAATGAAAATTTCACAGCTTTAAGATTGGTATGTTCTGTCTTCTTTATTAATACATTCCGGTCCTCTCTGCCTTCCTTTGCCCTCCAATCCACACAGAAGCAGCATATGGGGTGGGGGTGGGGAGTTGGTAGGAAGGGCGGGGGGAGGGGCAGATGGGTGAGAAATGAAGGCTGACTTATTTAGATGCCTAAATCAAGGCATTTTCAGAATGGCTGGAGAGCTTTTTGATTTTTGTACGGTTTAATTCTAACCATACAAACACTTGGCTGGTTTCCCTTTGACTTTTATGTCACACTGTTGTCACTTGAATAGTGACCTATTCAAGTCACTAAGCTGATTTAGTAAGAGTTCCTCATTGTTATTTACATTTTATGTTTTCAGTATGGCAGTACCGCACAAAGATTTCAGTGAAACCTGTACTCGGCAATTATTTCCTATTGGTTTCTAAGTTTTGGTTCAGTGCTAGAGTTTTCAGGAAACTAAAAAAAAACTTTTAATGTTAATCTTTTCCCAGTCACTAAGGGTTTTTTAATATTGTCCTTCATTATAAATAAGGAATTTCTTTACAATGGAAATGTAGACTAGAAATATTGTAAAATAAGTAACTGTAGCCTGTCCAAACTTTAATAAATAAAGCATATAATAGAGTTTCTCTCTCTCCCCTCCCCTCTCTCTTTACACACAAACACACACACACTGTACATACTTATTAAACCTTTAAAACTGATCATAAAAAATTCTTAAGTACTTAAATACAAGAAAATTCAGTGGAAAATCACACTACTAGACAGGCACCACTTGGGCAGGTGGAAATTAGAAATAGAATAACAGAGTTGGAAGGGACCTTGGAGGTCTTCTAGTCCAACCCCCTGCCTAGGCAGGACACCCAACACCATTTCAGATAAATGGTTATCCAACATCTTCTTAAAAGCTTCCAGTGTCGAAGCATTCACAACTTCTGGAGGCAAGTTGTTCCACTGATTAATTGTTCTCACTGTCAGGAAATTTCTCCTTAGTTCTAAGTTGCTTCTCTGCTTGATTAATTTCCACCCATTGCTTCTTGTCCTACCCTCAGGTGCTCTGGAGAATAGCTTGATGGTAAATTGATGGTAAACTTCAGCAGATATGCATTAAAAAAAAGTGTATTTAAGGTCACACACATCATTTAAACTATAGACTACCCACTCTTGCTGTATTTTAAGCTTTCTTTTGTTTAAACAATAGTTTAAAGAAAAAAATACCCTAAAAATAGAGAACAGCCTGTTGCAAGTGCCTATCAATGATCAGCCTCTAGGCTGAAGCTTCCTAATGGGCAAACTATTGATTATCTGTTGCATTTATGTCCTTCTGTATCCTCTTTTTGGGGACCTGTGAGGCCACCGTTTATCCCAGAGATGGAGTGTTTAGAGCCTCAATGTCAAATGCAGCCTTATATTTTGTTTTATAATTTCTGATTAGAAATGGTGCCTTTAACCTCACACATAAACCCCTTTGTAGTATTTATTTTATTTATTTATTTATTGGAATTTGTCAAACAAGAATAAGAACAAGAACAAGAGAATAAAAATACAATGACAGGGATGATAGGCACCATTACTGCACTTATGCACGCCCCTTCTACTGACCACTTAAGTATGAAGTAAGGTCCACGGAAGTCAATTTGGGACTGAAATTGTGAAAATTTGTAGCCCAGACAACTGAATCAGGTAGGGCATTCCAGACTTTGACAACTCTATTGTCAGTCTGTCCATTGGAACCACAAACAAGTGAAATGCATCTAATACAACCTTTATGCTGAGGCCCTCTCCCAATATAAAGCATCAACCAGAGCTGCTTAGCAAACTTTTTTTTTTTAAAAAAAAACCTATAACATTTTGACAATAAATTGTTTTATAATTCTATTTTATTTCTTTTTCATTGTTAAGAAACACATTTCATTCACAGATGTAAGAGAAGTCATCATTAGTATGGCATTACATGCATTGGTCAATTATGACAGATAAGCAGAATTGTTGGTAAGTCTCCATTTGCTCATTCCGTCAATATTCATGCTCAAGAATGTGTTATTAGAGATGTATCTTTAAACAAAACAGAGTTTAATTTAGTTTCCTGAATTGGGGCAGAGCTGCCAACTTTTCACTCTCTTTCTCCATATTCTGAGAAAGACTCAGTTATGGTTTTTATTTACTCTCTCTTTCTTTCTTTCTGTGTATGTTGTGATCTCTTTACAGATTGACTTCATCATGTCTTCCTCCAAGCTCCAAGATGCAGATGAAATATTTGGTAAGTTCTGTAAGCCTTCCCATCTTCATCCCATCTGTCGTCCATCCAGTGACTGCTTCCTTAGCAGAAATACATGAACCCTACTGAGATCCTTTGTTGTAAGCTGTCCAGAGTCCCTTGGGAGTTGGGCAGCATAGAAATGTGACAAAATAAATAAATAATAAATAAATAAATCCTCGTTGCAGATAATATTTGGATATCAAGGCCAGAAGGGCAAAGGAGATGCATGAAGTTATACATAATTTCATATGGAGTCCATTCCTGACTTCCACATCCAGATGGGCAGGAACATAGGTTTTGGGCCAGGGGGAACAAGATGGACCAACGATATCTTCATACAAATGCAGAGGTTTGCATAATTGTTTCAGCTATCAGGGTGTAAGCATGCCATGGTATAATTTGTACAATGATATCAGACAATGTGTGCTGTCCTTTTGGCACAATTGCAGTTTGCTGAAGATGGCATTGATTGTGAATTAGTGCGGTGGGGAAACTCATAGCATATGTTTTGCATATGCTCAGAGACATTTTCACCATATAGCCACTTCATACAGTCATATAAAGTGTATTCCAAATTCAGACTGGCAAATGCTTTTTCTTGCAACAGAGGTTTATGAAGAAATACAAACAGGTCTAGGTAATCCCATTTATTGACCACAACTGGGACCAGCAAGTGATAATTAAGTGAAGCAGTCACAAGTGAAACTTTGATTGTGCTTACAAACTTAATTTTGCTGTATGGACCTGCGAAGGTCGTAAATGCAAAAATTGGTCATAAAGCTACTTCTTCATCATCATTGTAAAACAAGGCAGTTGCTAAACAAGGATTTCCTGAATTTTGAGGAGGTTTGAGATGAATTGCATCCTTAAGGCAAAACATCACATTTTCATTGAGGTGAAATAGCTATTATACTTTCCTCACGTATTGCCTAATAGTATTATATCTAGTCCAATGTTGTCCATTTTGATTGGCAGAGGTTCGGCTTTGTGGGAACCTTGCCACAAGAGTTTCTGAAGACTGAATTTGGGCAAGATGGGGAAAAATCATGGGGCTGAATTTTTATTAGAATTCCATGTCCTTGTTTTTTATCCCAGGGCATGTTGTTTGATATGGCTTAGCTATAATATTTGGCATGCATAGTGGTCCTTCTTCCTATTTTTCTCACAACAGTATGAGATGGCTTGGATTGAGAGAAATTGACTGGCTCCAGCCAGCTAGCTTCCATGCCTATGGAAGATTAGAAATTATAGACTCCCAGTTCCTTGTTTATTATCTTAATCAGTACAACAAAATGGCTCTATTTTTTTGCGGGCTAGAGTGGTATCTATAATGTAGCTATAAATATAAGGGATTTCTCTGCATGAATTCAGGTGACTAATACCATCCATAAGATCAAATACTGTGGCTTAGAAACAATATTTTAATTTTCCATTTCTTCCTAAATATGAGTTCCTTAGCTACTTGGTTAGGAGTTCTAGGAATTGTAAACACATCTAGAGGCAACATGGTGAAAGCAGCTGTACAATGATTTGTACCAAAAGTGTGGGAAATCTGCTCCTGCTAACCCAGTATTCATCCAGAATTGGTTACTCTATTAACTAATATTGGCAGCGGCCATCAAGGGTGGAGGAAATATGCAAGATGGAAGCTTAACAAGATACTTCTCAGATCTGGAACTGGCTCTTCCATTACAGTCCTCCTCCAATTAATAAGCAGGAGACCAGAGTTTCAAAATAATTATGTATTTCTACTACTGAGATTGGATCACTCTTAATATCATTTCCTTGTTCCAGAGCACAAATGCTTCCTGGCCCATGCATTCTCCCAATAACCTTTGGGTCAGTATTCTCATGAAGCACCTCTGTTCCAGAATTCATGTGCTTTAACTCCTGACAGAATTATTGAACAAATGTGCACACTCAAAACTGTGCATAAACATTCATTAAACATTCTAGAGCTATACAGCTCTCATAATGTAGCCAATTATCCCCATACCCAATTTAGGACATAACTGGAAACAAAAGAAACCAACCAGGACATTTTGATATTGTTGGCATGACCTTCTGTACTGCCTGCTAGGCATTTTCCATTTTCCATTTCCCTTTTTAATTCAGCAGGCTGGAGTTTGAGGGCAGAGGCAGAGAGATCGTATTGGATTTTGGAGGGCACATTTTAGTCTGTGACCTTGCCTGGAATTATAGCATCTAAAAACATAGATATATAAGCCATTCAGAATTGGGCTTAAGATGGGCAGCTATACAAATAGTTTAAATAAATATATACAGTATTCTCTCCTGAATTGCAGGGAAGGGAATTTGCATATTTCCAAACAGGTATTTTAATTAACATTTCATAAAATATATTTAAATGATTTTTTGGGAAACTCACAAACCAATGTAAACATTTTGGAGGACAAAAGGGGAGGATTCAATTTAAATAGATATAACTATTGGGGTTGGTAGAAGCAGTTACAAAATATCTGTAATTAGAATAACTAATAGGTTTTTGGTGAATTTCTGATCATTGGTTTAAAGGTCCTCTAACTTGGAACTGCTATTTTGTAAATGCATATTGATCAAAATTAATATAATTTGTGTTGAATTTAACAAGCTGTAAAACATTGTGATCTTGATTCAAAACTGCATTTGGTCACTATTATTCAATTAGTAGTCATCTCTGTGAGGCTTTGGCATCATGACTGAAAGACTTAATGCCAAGAATCAGAGATGTGATTGCAATATTGGATTAAACAGAGAACAGAAGACAATCATTTCCATTTTTAAAAAATAATCAGCTGCAATAATAGCATCAAGTCAACTCCAAGGGCCTTATTTAATTTCAACTCTTCAATTATTTAATCTGTTTTCTCTTTGGAGAATGGTTCATTAAGACTCACCCTGTGAATTTCTGGTACAGGAATGATTTTAAGAATCTAAAACATAATTTATTCTGTTTAGATCTCTGTATTAGACATGTATAATTAAGCATAAAATGGTACACACGGTGTTTTATTTCTTCAAAAAGTTCCTCCGCCTCCATTTATATGCGTATTCATAGTTTTCAGAGTTACAGGGGTTGTGTTGAGCCTACATTTATTAAGGCTTGGACGGGCATCCAACTTGCCAAATTACCACCTTTGACCACTGATCTTGGATGGTATGATGGTAGGACTACAAATAGGCTGCCAATGTTTGTGTGCATCCTATGGTTGTCTGGTTTATGTTATTAGGACTGCCACTGTTTTCCCTAATCACTGCCAGTTACAATAGGCTACATGCCTTTGAAAATGAATTTAAATTAAATCGGCGGGCCCTTAGAATATCCTTCTGGTATACTTTTTTTTTTCCTGAGGCTTGCACACTGCTTCAGTCTCATAGCTCTGAGCAGCTAATACAGTCCAATTATATAATTCTAAATTAACAGAAGAAACAAACAAAAAAAAACCCACACACCAAAGTACAATATAGTCAATGAATTGAGAAATATTCAAATAGAGCACCTACCCTTATTATTTAGAAAATAATATCATAATTAACCCCTGCAATCTCTGAAAAATCTACAGAAAACCCAAGGTTTTCAAATATTTTAGTGTTCACTTTTCTGTCCATCTTGTGTCATATTTCTAAATAAGTGAGAATTCTTAGCATGCCATCTCTGCTAGCAGGTCCTTGTCAAACAGATTCTACCTGATCCTGCATATAATCAAGTTTCAAGCCATTTAGGGCTGGATGGATGATAACAGCACTTGAATTGCACATAGATGCAAACTGACAGGCGTGGAAGGACAGACTGCCTGAGTAGATTAAAAGCACCTGTGCTCCTTCCTTACTTCTCCCTTCTTGGCCCTCCCACTTCGTCAGGTTGACCCAGCTGCCAATCAAACCACAACTGTCAATCAAATCACAGTATTTGGCAGGAGATAAGAAGGAGGGGAGACAAGATGGCTGCCCTAAAGAACTGCCATTACAGATCACAACAGAAGAAGTAAACAAAAAGAGCCAAAGCAAAAGAGTTAAATAAAGAAGGAAAATGTCCCATAGAGGAAAAGCAACAAGAAAGAATGCAGCAGCTGAAAAATCTGGAGAGAGAAATATTTATTTCGTTCAGACTTGTCTGAAATAAAAGTTTCTCAATCTGTTTCCCTCAGATGGAGCAAAGATTCAGAAGAAGAGAAGAATCAAGAAAACCAACCAGGAACAAAGAAAAAGAAAAAGACTTTGACAGAACAGAAATGGAAAGCAGAAAATAAAAAAAAGAGCTTATAGAAAATAGTTAAAGTAAAGAAGTGTTATTATTAATTTCTACATTAACTGTAGGCATTTATAATTTACAAATTCTTTTCCTTTTATTTCTAAGCTTTTCTTTTGTAAAATACATCTCCCCCCCCCTTTAGTTTTAAGAAGCTATAAAACTCAACCAAGGTTTTCAATGCTATGAGTCTGGTCAATCTAGTTATTGGTGGTTTTTTTTTTCCCAAATCCAGCAACCAATTTAGCTCCTAAAAAAGAAGTATACTATAATACATTCCACAAGTTAATACTTTCAAATGATCATCAAGAACAGCTCAATAGAAAGTAAGTTACTGAAATCCAACCATGAGATGACAAAAGAATGGAGACCTTTGCTAATACTTCCTGCTTCTGGAAAGGCTGCAATTAATGCACCAACTGAAGCTAGGTGAGCCATGGCTGCCCCCTGTTCTTTCACATGAATCATAAGTCTAACAGCACATCTAAATTGCACGTTTGCTCTGCCATGGGAAGTACAACTCCATTCAGAATCAAAGCTGGACCTACGTGGGAGTCAGCTGGCTTTAGAATCAGTTGCAACTCTGTCTGCAGAGATTAACATGAGCTTGTTTTTTTTCCATTCAGATCCTACTAACCAGACTTCCTCTGTCCCAAAGATGCTTTTTCAAGAGGCAACTGGACTTTCTGGTTTTTCTTTGAAGATGTTTTGCTTCTCATCCAAGCTTTTGAAAAACCAGAAAGTCCAGTTG